AAAAAAAAGTGTTTCAATGAGTGAATGAAAATCCAAAATTTCTGTAAATGTTCATTTTTTTTTTGTAAATGTTCATTAAAATTAATAAAATAATTTTTTTAAAAAGTGTTTCATAGTACCTATCTTAACAATTCACAGGCTTTTGCAGATAGAGAAAAAAAAGGTGGTCTGTGAGAAGATTCTCCCTAGCAGGAGGTAGGGTAGTGTTTACTTTGTTCATGAAAATGGCCTTGATGTTAATGCCTCTGTTCTAACTCACTGACTTCCAATTGGAAAAGTCATAGCTGATCCTCCTTTGGGTTTCCTGGACTGTCAAACACACAGGAGGAGATTATCTTTCTTTCTCCCTTGGAGCCTTTAGACAGTGATTTCTTTCACATCCTTATGTCCAGCTGCAGAAACTTCCTGAAGGAGCTGTGGAGGAAACTTCTGGAGAGAGGTAGCGGCCTGGGCGGTTTGAAAGGTCAGAGAGAAAGCCTGAGTTTTTAAGGTGGCATCTGGGCTTATCCAGCTCAGCATACAGGACCACAGGAGTGCAGTTTCTGCTAATTATAAGCAAAATTCTTAAAGCAGAAGCTAGCCTGTCTCGCTTTCTACTGCTGACATAGACCTATCGCTGTCCACTTGCCAAGAGGCCGGTGGTAGCCAACCTCCACTGAAGGGGAGACCTGCTAACATATCTCCAATACACTTGGATTGGTTTTAAAACTAAATAACTAAGCCAGTTGCCATCGAGTTGATTGCAAGTTGTGAAGACCCCAAGGGCATCAGGCTAGAACTGTGCTGAGAAGGGTTTACATGGTAGCTGTGACCTTTCAGAAACAAATCGCCAAGGTCTGTCTTCGGAGGTGTCCCAGGTAAGTTTGAATAGCCAACTCTTCAGTTAACATTGAAGTGCGTTAGTGTTTGTGTCATGCAGGGTTTCAGCTGGGTTGTTTTAAAACAAAGAAAAGCACTGCTGTAGAATCTGTTTGGGTTCATGGTACCTTGAAATGGGTTCCCAAGGTTGTATATTTGTACAAGAAGAGACTGCCCGCCCATCTTTCCCCCAACAAAGCAGTTGGTAGACTCAAACTTTCCACCTTCTGGTAACCAGCCTGACACAATGTACTAGGTCAGCAAAGTTTCTTGCTTTGTCTTTAGAGGAAAGTATTTATAATGGTTTGTTCTACTTCTGTGCATGGTTAGAAGCTTCCAGCAAGTCAAAGCTTCTGATTCAGCACAGAAGGGTAAACTCCTAGGTACCTGCCCACAGCACCTAGCACTGGAAAAGCAGGTCGCAGAAGATTAGAAATGTGGGCAGGGGTGCAGCGGGCAGACCTGGAGGGGGTGGGTGTGTATGGGCCTCTGAGCCTCCCTACCTGAGGAGAGGTCACAGCATGGAGGCATTGATGTCAGTCTAAGTGCCTGGTGCTGCCATGGTCTACTGCAGGCAAGAGGGAAAGGACTGAGTTATATTTGTGACCAAAGAGGACCATGAAACTCCAAGCAATACAGAGCTGGTGGCTGATGGCCCCACGGGTCTATAGGAGGAGCATGGGCTGATATTGCCAAATGGAGACATTACCTGGAACTGCCCGAGCCTCTGAGGAATGGCCAGTGGCCCCTGTGAAGAAGAGCAGTTCAAGTCGGCCTTTTCCTGCTTCTATTATAGCACAGAGGATGTCACGGGGTCAGACTAGACCAGTTCTTGGCCATGCAGGAAAAGACCTCTATCCTCAGGATAATGATGATGATGATGAGAAGATAGAAGTTTTCAAGTAAACAGCTTGGACCGAGACTACTGCAGCCAAAAAAGAGAAGAGCTCAAGCTAATGAACGCCCTGGGCCCTGGGCTCCAGTTCTTCCATATCAGAGAGATAGGGACCTATTTCAAAATGCCTGTCAGCCACTCTCAAACAAATTGTCTTTCTTTCATTTGTTCTGTGCACTGAAATGTACAAAATAACTTATTTTGAAGATCAATGGTCTTGGCCCTTTTATAGATACATTGAAGAGGAGGAAAACCCAAAATAGATGCTTTGCATGTGTGTCCTATGTAAACCTATCTGTGAATGTAACTGCCACTATGGAATTCTCGGTTTGTTGGTTTTTTGGTGTGTGTGTGTGTGTGTGTGTGTGTGTGTGTGTGTGTGGTGTTTTTCTCTTAAAGCTTTTTTTTTTAACTTTATTACTTTTTTGTGTGTGTACCGTCAAATCAGGTCTGACTGGTACAGGAGAAGATTGCCCGTCCTTCTCCAGCAGAGCATCTGGTGAATTCGAACCACAGATCTCTGGGATTGCCGTGCAGCTTCTTGCCACTAGGCCACCTGAGCTCCCTCAGAATTCTCGTTTTTCAGATTGCCGTGGATTTCAACAGTTTGAAATAATGTTCTGAATATTCTCAGATACCAAAATATCGTTATCCGGGGGTGGGGGTGGGGAAGATTAGAAACGTGGGACGTGTGGAGCCGAAGTTCAATAGAGGAAAGTTCTTCCAAATCTTAACAGTCTGTGAGAGTTGATACCAGTTTCCCAAATTTGACAAGAATCTAGAACTTTTACATGGCACTATCAAACATTCCAGTACAGATTAAGAATGGAAAGAACTTTCCTAAACTGTCAGTAACTGGAATACAATTGTCAGTCAACCAGGTTAGAAGTAAGACAACATTGGCGAGCTCTGGTGGCCTAGTGGTAGGAAACTGCGCAATCCCAGAGGAGCACCGTTCAAATCCACCAGATTCTCTGCTGAAGGAGGAACAATCACCTCCTGTACCAGTCAGATCTAGTTTGACGGTACACACATAAAAATAATAAATAAATAAATAAATAAAATTATAAAAGAAAGAAGTAAGACAACATTATTTTTCTATTCTCTCCATAAAGCATTTTTTCAATTAGAAAACCTTTTGAGTATGCAGCCAGAAAATAGAAGTCATAAAAAATTTTATTTCCCTGGCTTTTGTATTGTTTGTCGATTTTTTTTTTCCAAGAAGCTAAAGAAGCTTTATTAACCCCTTAATAAATCTCCTGGGTGGGATTCCTTGGTCTGCAGAGAGAGAAACAGGCAGAGGGACAGACCAGGGAAACATCACACCCTAATGTGGATTAGTGCAGGTTTTATAGTGAGGGTCTTTACGGAGGCAAGGGAGCGACATTCCATTGTGGTTTAGCCAGGTGGGTAGTCTGTCAATATTTTTATCATTTGCTGTGATTGCTCATTATTTTCTGATTCTCATTATTTTCTATTAACTTCTAGTTCAATTTCTGCATGTATTGCTTGGTATGATTTTACTAACACAGTGAACCTAAAATTGAGCAGACTCAACCCAGTTTACCTGGGCAGAAGGAAGGAAGAAGGAAGGGTAGAAGGAAAGTAAAGATTTCTTCAGTGAGGAAAAAGTGAGATTTCTTCAGTCCTCCTCATTTCACTTCCTGGACTTTGTGAGCAAAAGCCACAAAGCCTCAGGCACATAGCACGTTCAAGACCTCCATAAAGACGAGAGAGACTCAGGCTGCCTGCTTGGTTCTAGGCTGGGACTACTGGGCCTCAGTGAGGAGTCAAGGGGCCAGGAAATGAGAGCAGTACCCCCTTGCTTTTCTTCTGCAGCGCCAGGGAAGAAGGGGACCACAGCCAGATGCTCCTCACTGACAGGAGAGAAATAGGACAACTCCCTCACCGCTTCTCAGCGTGAATGAAACAAGGCAGCAGGTGTCACACCATAGTGACAAGAACACACCCACAAACACACACGCACTCCCCAAGCTTAGTCCCCATCAGAGCTCCTCAGGGTCTGGCCTGTCTGAATTCTCTCTTCAACTAATCAAGTCTCTCCTCTCCCACCTGCTCTGACCACCTATCCGATGTGTAATGAAGTACCACTCACAGGATGCCACCCTTGCTGGCAGAGCCTCTGTGGCAATGCCCCTCTTCACAGCCATTCCTCCTCAGGGCTCAATCAGGCTGTCACTTCCTCAGGGCGGCCTTCTCCAGATCTGGATCGTCCTGACACTAGCTCCTCCCACCACATACAAGACCCAAGGGTCAGTCAGGCCAAAGGAGCCATGTTGATTGCTTGGAGGTGGGGTCACTAGGGAGAAAGGGCCAGTTGACAGGGGGACGAGCCAACGTGGACCTCTATGACCCACTCACTCAACCTAAGTCCTGAGGCCGAGCCCCTCACAAGGACTTTGATAAGTCAGCTGGCTTGAAGAATAGAGAAGGGGCCAGTGGGGCCCGACAGACCCTTTGGAGAACTTCCGCATGGCCCAGCTCTATCCCAGGACCTTCCACACCAGCCGACCATCAGGCACAGAGAGGCATTCGTTAGATCACCCACTCTGGGTGGGAGTCCCCTTTATTTGCATATCCGATCGTGTGGCTACATGCTGCAGATGGTTCTCTATATGAACCAGAAGGGAGTCCATCATGTGCAGAATGCCCAGGAGCAGGCTGCGCTCTGAGACCGGGGCCCGTCGCTTCCGGGGTCCACAGGAAACAGGCGTCACCTGCGCATGCTGGCCAAAAGGCGGGAGTGAGGAGGGCAGAGGGGCAGGATGGGGCTGTCGTGAGGGACAGTGTGGAGCCAGAGTGAAGGGCTGGGGTGGGAGACCATGACAGAAGACAGGGACCCAGGAGAATGGAGGATTAGTGTGGACCTGATGTGGGCGAGGGCTAGTCATGGACCAGTGGGAGCTGGTCCACAAAACAGAACCAAAGGGGACAGACAGGGCATGGTCAGGGGTTGATGGGTAATGAACACGGGCTCCATGGAGATGTGCGGGCAGATGTAGGGGTCATGAGGTATGGGCAGAGCGAGACAGCAGGGCTACACAGCATGCGTGTACACTAGTGGGCTGAGAGGGCTGGTGAGGGCTCTGGACACACTGGATACCAGCAGAGGCAGGAGGCTGGGGAGAACAGGGCAGTACAGCTCACCTCACCCTTGGTGGCCGGTGCACGCCGTCGCAGCATCGCTCGGCTAATCACTAGCATCATGGTGGTGACAGTGACTCCAGCCACTGGGTAGATGTGGCCAGACAAACCCAGACCCATCCAACTGCCAGGACATCCCAGGACACCCTTGTAACCCTCCAGGCCATTTGACTGGCACCCCAAGGGCTGCAGGTCTATTCCCACCTGGTACCAGAGGGGCCTGGACCAGGTGCGGGCAAAGGCAGGTACTGCCGGCAGGAGCAGCAGCAAGGCTGGTAAGGACTGTGTGGGCAGCATGGCTGCGGCAGGTGTCTGAGGCCGGAACCCGGGCGCCTGGCAACCGGCAAACACCCCTCCCCCAAAGGCAGCCGTGACTCTGGTTCCAAGGTGGCACGTTCCAGCTGGGCTCATGGCCAGAAAATGGATGGGAGTAAAGAGCCAAAGGGAGCAGGCTCCAGGGGTGAGGGCAGGATGGCAGGCTTGGGGCCCTGGGCCTGAAGGCCTCTGTGACTGTGGGCCACGATCTCAGACCGAGTCTTATTCCTGGGTGTCCCACACATGATGGATACTCTCTGGCCACCCCCAGCCATTGAGTGGGTCAGCCCAAGACTGAAGGAAGAACTCCTTCCCCTCCCCCCAACTTTTCTCCTTTCCCTCTCAGACCTCTTTAACCCCTGCAGTCCTTTAAGTCAGCTGTAACCCCCATCAGTGGTGTCATCAGCCCAGACCACATTCACAAAGCTGTTCTCCAGTCCCCTGCCTTCCTCCCTCCACCTCGGCTCCACAGTCTACACCACAGCAGAGTGGGTCCTTAACATATGTGGGGGAGACTGAGTTAGGTGCTTGATCAAAACCCACCGGTGACATCCTTCTCAGAACAAAGGCTGAAGGCCTCACCCGGGCCCGTGCGATCTTCAGAGCTGGGGTCTTTCCATCAATCTTCCCTGTTCCTTCATATTCCCCAAATATACCTGCTCTTCCTGAAGCCAGGAATGCTACTACCCCCTTCTAGAAAGACACCTTCCCACAGCTTGACCTTCAGCTTCTCCCTGCAGCTTCCTTCTGTGACCACCCTGGGCAACGCGGGTCTCTCACAACGCCTTGGATCCAAAGCATTTCCAACCACCTGCACTCTCTTCTTTGAGGTCCCTCTCCTATCCCAGTATATCGGCTTCTTTTAGTCAATATTTACCAAGTCCCCGCCATGGGGCACATGGCCCTCCTGTCAGCTGGGACCATGCTGAGTAGACACACAGATCTGCCTTCCTGGACTGAGTGGCTCTGGGGATGGGAGGGTGGGGGTGTTGTGATACAAATATATTGATATTTATAAATAAAAGCAGAGCTGGGCAATACTGTTATCATTTCTCTTTTACTGGTGAGGAAGGAGCACAACTAAGTCCCAGGAAGATTCCAGGCTCACTCCTCCCCTCATCATCCCTCAGGCTGTCAGCACTGGTAGAAGACCACTACCCACTGTGCCATGTGCCACAATGTTTGCATTTTAAGGCAGTAATGGGCTACATGCTTTCTGGCTGCCAGTGACCTGCAAAGCCCAGGTGATGTGATGACATGAAGAGGCCTTCTCCGCCCCCACCCCACACCTAGAAAATCTGTTTTTATTTTTAAATACACACCCCCAGCATCTGTGAACATCTGTGCTCCCTGCACTGAGTCAGGTGCTTACCCCACACCCTGGAAGGACTGCCTCATGGCACCTGCCCTACCCTGCACCTTATCTGGTGTCCCTGAGAACAGGTTATTTCCTGAGAGCTCTGATTCCAAGCCTGTTAAAGCCAAGGACGCAGACTCGGAAGGCTGTGGGTGGCTGGGAAAAAGTTGAGCCTGGGATACTGCATCATGGGGCCAGCCTCCTAATTTTCCTTGCTGCCTGACACTGCTCTCCCCACATCGTCCTCCCAATCTGACCCTATTTCCCACTATGAAGCATAAGAAGAATTAAAAGAGCTACCTCAGGACACCTCTCCCACTCCCAGCCAACCCCCCACCAAGTCAGAGCAGAGCCAGGAGTTAAGCAAACAAATCTTTATTCTTAATGCTAACAACTCACTTTGGCTCCAAGCCTTGACCCTGGCCAGTGCCAGCCTCCCTCCAAGACCCCAATCAGGGCCTGGAGAATGAAACTTGGGAGTCCCAGGACCTCCATCCCTGAGTTGTATGTGTGAGAGTGTGTGTGTGTGTGAGTACACACGTGGAGGGAAACTCCTGCGTGGCATCTGTAAGCAGCCAAGCGGTGGAGGCATCGCCAGGGCCCCCCATCATACCCTCTAGAGGTGGGCAGTCTTACATGGGGTAGTAACACCTTCAGAACTTGGTGACCTGAGTAGACAAGAGGAGAGAGAGAAGCTCTAGTTGTTTCCAGAGGATTTTTCCTCCAACACATATCACTCCTCCATCAGGAAGGCAACCTCTGTCCCCAGGGGCAACTTTCTCCCAAGGTAAGGAGTCCATCAAGGCAACTGTGGTCACTAGGGTGGCATTCCTAGAGCCAGAAAGAAATAAAAAAGGGCTCAGTGGGCCAGAGGTCAGCTCACCAGAACAGTGTCCATGGAGCCGGACCTTGGATGCTGGAGGGCAAAGCTGACCGCATCATGGACAGTGGCAAAGACGTGCTGCTTAGTGATGGATGCATCGAAGAAGTTGCCGGCCTCAAGCTGGGTGATTACAGGGGCTGTAGGCAAGGAGAGGGTCAGCTTGGATTCTCAGAGCCATAAGGACACCACAGCCCCCAGGAACCAGAAGAATGTTTTGATCTCTATTAACCCTGACGTCTGTTCTTTTGGCTATAGCTAAACACCAACCCCAACCTCTAGAGGTCAATCATGACCCCAGAACAGCTACGACCCACAGATTCAGAGAAAGATGGGTTCCTCCCCTTTTGTGTCACCTCTTCCCCGGACCACACTGCCTGCCTCCACCCCACCTACCATGGCAGGCAGCCAAGTACACCTCCACCTCAATCTCCCGGAAGTCACGGAAAATCTACAGCAGAAAAGGGAAGACTCGTGTGGGCTGCGGAGGGAGGCTTGGAAGGAGAGGTCAGAGGGAGGCAGAAGGCTCTGACGGGGTTCAGAACCAGTTACGGGGGGTCAGCGTGGTGGAGGCTGTCTTGTCCCCTGGGTCCTCCCCGGAGGTGCCCAAGCCCTCACATTCTTCAGGTTCTTGAGGCACACAGTGTCCACAAAAGAAAGGGCACTCAGGTCCAGGACGAGGCTGTGGAAGTCGGGCTGCGGCAGGCCGAGGGCCTTCAGCGTGGACCCGCCTGGGGCCTTGGCACCTTCTTGGTTGCTGGCTGCTGTACCTTCTGGCTCATCCTCTGGAAAACCAGACAAGCTGCACGGGTTGTCCTTGATGAGGCGAGGGCAGGGACACAGAGACACAGAGTCAGCTGTAGAGCACACAGCCGGTGTGAACAGCTACATACATGAGGGGCACACTGGGGATATACTGAAGATGCAGGAGGACTTGGGCGTGGGGGAATCACACGGGCAGGAAGAACACACAGGTCACATAAAAGGACACATATAGACTCGGAAGCACACAGACACGCACGTGCTGCTCTGCTACCAGGCGGCCCCAGGATTAACAAGGACACCTGAGAAAGGGGTGACCACGCCCTGCACCCTCAGCCAGCCAGAGCGGAGTAGGGCGAAGACTCAGGGACACAGCAGACGTGTGGGGGGCAGCTAAGTCCTGCAGAGAGGAGCATGCTCACAGGGGTACATTCACACACAGACACCTCACACCCCACTGTACTTTCCATCAAGAGCTCGGTGTCTTCTTTGACACCTAGATTTTTTTTCCCTACCCATCCAACTCCTTTTCTCTGCCCAAGAGCAGACTGAGGGTTCTGGTAGTATCTACACAGTCAGTGCCTTGGATGACAGACAAGGAAGCCACTGGAAGTTCTGTGTCGTGTCACCAGCGAGCTCCTCACAGAATGAGATTGTCCAACAACTCCATTCCTCTGACTGGTGGCTGCCTGAACCCACCGCTGATGGCTCCCGGGTGACCCTCCAAACACAAACGTGAGGGCACTCATAGCTTGGTCCTCCTCTGCCGCCTCTGATCTCACCTTGACCTTGGAGTTCTCCACACTGTTGATCTCAGCAGCTCCAGGCCCGACATTGTTGATCTCCGTAGCCCCAGGACTGGCGTTGACATTTATGAAGAATGAGGTGCCCTTGGAGGAGGCAGCCTAGGCCAGAAGGACGGAGAAGGGGAAAGAACTCACCTAGTTGCCACATAAAAGCCTTGTTAGACAGGCCTGGTGACGTTCCCTGGCTTTGGGCAAGTAGATGAGCCAGGACCCAACATTGTGGGACCCAGAGCTTGACTTGGTCAGCAGCCAATTCTAGGAACAATGATACACATGGAAGAGGACTGTGGTGGTTCACAGAGGAACTGGCTCGGGAGGTGGGAGGAAAAGAAAACACCACCTGGAGCCCTAACCTGCCAGGGAAGAGAAGCAGGGTCCCTGGAGGCACCAGGGAGAAAGGAGGAGGGATGAAGACTCAGGGTGGGACGTCAAGAAGCTGGAGTCTGGGAAAAAGGCCAGAGTGACGTCAGCACCAGGACAGGGGCAGAAGTCCACAGGAAGAGACAGCGATTAGGGGAAAGGCTGAGTGAGGTCAGATGTCACTGGATGAAAGAGGTCCCTGCCTGTTTCTTAGGCTGCTTCTTCTGCGTCCTCTTCAGCTTTAGCTCCTGCTTCCGGAGCAGCTTCTTCTTCCGGGACAGGAGCTGGTCGACATCCACACCACACTGGAGAAGAATGTCATGGGAGGGAGTGTGGGTATAGGGGGCGGGCAGGGGCCTCTGTCACCCACCAGGTGGTCCCACGCCTCACCCTCTGCTTCAGCGTGTCGCTGTAGAGTTCAGCATTGGCAAAGTACATGGTGACCGAGGAGCGGAAGATCTTCACGCCGGGGACCTCCTTGGCCTGGGAAATGTTGGAGTTGGCACAGGGCTGAGCATGGCTCCTCCTCTGGCTATATCTTGTTTTCCTGAATTTCTTCCCTACAGTGTTCCAGTCCAGTGCCCACTGCTTTAACCCTCTGCTTCTCGGCCAGTGTGGGCCCAGCCAGGGTCTCTGTGTCACCCACGGGCTTAGGCCAGAGCCCGGTGGTGTCCTGCCTATAGCCCCACCCTACAGTGGCTCTGCGCCCCTTCCTCGGTCCAGCTCCTCAGCCAGGCCTGCCTGGGCTTCCTCCAGGGCACATTCCCACCCTCCCTTCCTGTCTCTCCCTGGAGGCTAGGCCTTGGCAGCCCTCACCCCTCCACCCCAGCACTGTTCTCTGCACACAGCCCAAGACCCTCTGAGTTGCCAACTCTCTGAGTTCCGCCCACCATTTGAGACACAGCCCACACCCCCACTCAGCAGTCTGGCCCTTTTCCTCCAACTGGACAGCTCCCTCCTGCCCTCCCCTACATCCTGGAGCTTTCAGCTCCTCCTCCAGTCCGCCATGTTGCACTGTCCCCAGTCTTCAAGACTCTGTGTGAAGGGAAAAATGCTTATCTTATTCCAGAAACTTGCACCTATGTCTCCAGCACCAGGCATGAGACGTCTCAGGGAGGGAATGATTGGAGATTTAGAGATTCCACTGATCAGATCAGGACGCAGATCCTAATTCCTGATGTCTCAAGATCCCGCCTCTCTGACACCCCTGACTGAGGGCTGCTCCAAAGGCAAAGTCGTGCTATTTGGTTCAAAGACTGTATCTGCCTCATGGACATCTAGACCCAGCTCTGTCTATGCTTCCCTTCTGCCCAGGGATGGGTCACGGACTCAAATACCTACCTTGAAATTCCAAGGACAAAAGCCAAAGTGTCCCCAGCTGCTAGTGACATTGCCCCGTAAGGAGGGAGCTGACAAATCCCTCATCCTTCTCTTGCTCCTGTCCCACCACACCCACAAAAGCCTCCTCAGCCCCTGCCACTCACCTCTGAGTATTCGGCCACGTCTCTGTAAACATCCGTGCCTGGCACCTGCCCCAGGACAGAGTAGCGGGGTCTGTGGAGGGGAGAGTGAGCTCCAGGTGAGGGGAAAAGAACAGGGTATCTAAAGAGCCTTGGGAGGGGGTCTACCCAGAGATATGCAGCCAGCGACCTCCCTCCTCATCTCCCTAGAACAAACGAGGGTTTGACTCACAGCTGTGTGCGGACCACCACCAGCAGCAGGGAGAAGACCACCGAAACTGCCAGGCCAAGGTCCAGGTTCAGCAGGATGGTAGCCACAAAGGTCACCAACCAGATGAGCTGAGAACAGAAGGGAAGAGTCAACAGGGTCGAGAGGGGCCAGAAGACTGGAGACCTCCCAGGCCCACCCCTGGGGTCACAGGCCTCTTACCAGATCTACTCGATTGGTCTTCCAGAGCGTGCATATGTCCTTGAACTGCATCAACATGCCCTTCAGGTTCACAATAATGGTGGCAGCCAGGACTGCCTGGGGGCGAGGCGTCATTGAGAAAAACACACCGAGGATGTCAGACACCAGATGTGACCCCCAACTGTCCCCAAGTATCTGGCCACAATCCCAGCAGAACCAACTGGTGTCCGCTCCTTTCCCTGGAAACATGACTTTGTCTCTTACAGGTTCTAACCGCTGACCTCTGGATTACCAAAGCAACTCCCTATGGATGAGGCCACCAGTGCTCCCTGTGACCCCTGACCTTTGACGTCAACTCTCACCTCAAACATCTTAACCTTGCGTTCCTGTCTCTCATCCGGGACCTGACTGACTGATCAAACCCAGGTGGACGGGGACGAGGGTGGGGCTCACCTTAGGGAGGTCTTGGAAGAGTTCCCCAAGTTTGAGGATGATGATGAGGATGAAGAGGGAGGAGACAGCTCCAGCCACCTATAGGGAAGGGGGAAGGAAGGGTGGACGGAGGTGAACATGGAGGGCTGGGAGTGAAGTGATCAGGAGCAGAGAGGAGCGGGTGTCAGAGGAGGTGAGTGGAGTGAGCATGGGTGAGCAGGAATAATGCACGAGTGACTGAGGGGCTGGCGTGGGGGGTGAGGCAATGGACAGAGCAGGGATGACGTTGGCAGAGCAGAGTCGGGGTGCACAGGTTCGCATCACTGATCTACAGCCCACCTGCGTGTTCCCTCCGGTGCTCTCCTGCACCAGGCTCCGGGACATGGAGCAGCTGATGGGGAAACACAGGAAGATGCCCCCAATGAAGTTACTAAGGCCAAGGGCCACCAGCTCCTGGGGTGAGGGAATGGGTACGGATGTGAGCAGACCGATGCCTTGTCACCGCCCCACTATGTCTACGTTCACACAGTACCCCCAGGCAGTGACACTCAAACACTTGCTACTGTCTCCCCCCACACCATCCCAGAAGACCTGTGTCTCACCTGACCTTCCCTCCTCCCAGTTCCCAAGACTCCTCTGGCCTAGTTGTTCCCCCAACAAATCCTGTGTTGCCCCAGACCTGGTTGCTGTCCACCCGGTAGCCGTGCTTCAGGGCAAAGATCTTCCCCAGGGAGATGGCAATGGCGAAGCCAACCACAGCAATGGCGAAGGCGTTTCCCACAAGCTCTGCGAACAGCTTAGGCTCGGGAGCCACTGGTTGCCGTAGCCTGCGGGGAGCATCTGTGAGGCTCACCGAAGGTCATGGCCTTGGCCCCCCAAACCCTCCCTGGCCTGATGGGGCACCAGCGCCCACCCTGCAGGGATGGTACCCACGATGTCCACCTGGAATTTCTGGTTCAGGCCCACACCATAGGAGATGGCTGTGGCCCCTATGAGCTGGGGAAAGAGAGGAGAGTTAGGGGAGGGAGAAGTTGGCAACACCTGTCAGTTGTTAAACGATGGTTAAACTTCTGGGGGTGAGGAGAGAGACTCTGGGGAGAAATCTTCAGAGAGACGGGGTGGTGTCAGTAGGGTGAGAAACAGACATGACCATTTGGGGAGAGGAGTAAATGCTGTCAGGTGGTGGATGGACATACCAATGTGGGGCTTCTTACCAAGAACCCTGGCGGGGCCCATTCCAACTAACCCTCAAATGCCAGAGGGTGGTCCCCAGGACATGGATGGACCCTCATCTGCCCTCCTCCCCTGGCCGCCTCACCGTGAGCAGTTCCCCAGGCAGCGGTACAGGCAGGTGCCGCCGCAGCTTGTCATTCAAAAGCTTCACCACCATGAGCACCACGCCCGCCACAACTGCAGTGATGACGGTGCCGACCACGCTCTGGCGCAGCTTGGAGCAGACTTCCAGCACTGTCTGGTGGAGAGGTGGGGGTCACAGCCAGCATCTGAGGTGGCGGGACACACCCACCCAGCCTGCCTCCTACCCTCACTCACATAGATGAGGGACAAGGGTCCAGAGTGGCTGCTCAGCTGAAGGCCGAACACGTACTTGAGTTGTGATACAAAGACATGCACAGACGCAGCCGTGGTATAGCTTCGGACCAGAGGCTCTGACAGGTAGGTGACCACAAAGCCAAAGTGGACCAGGCCAAGCCCCACCTATGAAAGGAAAGGAGGAGACAGTCAGGAGAAGTGAGATACTCAGGGCAAGGGGTGGAGCTCGGGGCAGACAGGACTGCAGGAAGAGGAGCTGCCAGCAAGAGTGATCAATGGTCAGATACTCAAAAGAACTGGTCAGGGGTGGGACAGAGAGGGGAAGGAAACTGATGGGGTTAACTCACTCCTGACTCCCTCGTACCTGGAAGAGGCCAACAAGGACACTGAGTGTGGAAGCCAGCTGCACCCTTTTATCCATGAGGACTGTGCTGTTTAGGTCCTGAAGGGGGTCACTCGGGGCCAGGGATTCTGTCACACTGCCCACCATCACAGACATGATAGCAAACGTTCCTGCAAGGACATGGCAGGGCAAATCTGAGGGATGGGGACATTACTCTGCTGTGGAGCCTTGATCTTATCAAAGAGCCCAAGGAATGTCCAGTATTAGGACCAATACCCTGGGATAATGGCTGTGCCAACAGGAGGCATGCTGGTAGTCAGGTACGCCCAGGATCAGGAATGTACCCTGAGCTCAAGGGCCCCTGACGATGCCCAGCAATGGTGAGCAGTGTTGTTCACGGGCCCACTTATATCCATTAGTCAAGTAACAGCTCTTCTTGTGAAATGCAGAAAGGGGAAGTGGACTTCACTTGCTGACATGTTGGTCAGGCTTCCTCCAGGATTCTGCCTCTTAGAGCTGCCCCACCTACACTTACCTTCCTGGAGCCAGGACTTCTCAAGTCTCCTGCTGTGGTCAGGAGCCCAGCCCTGTCTCAGGATGACCTGTAGGCTGACCTCCTAGTGCCTAGCACCATCATCCTCTCTAACTCCCCTACCCTGCTCAGCCCTCCTTCAGCCTATCTTTCATGGTGGATGTAGGCATTCTCCCACATTCCCAGTCTGCTCCTCCTACCTATAGAGATGTGCCGGGAAGTGCCAAACAGGAAGTAGATGAAGACGGGGTAGAAGGAACTGTAGAGGCCAAACACAGGAGGTAGTCCAGCCAGGAGAGCATAGGCCAGACCTAGGGTGACATGGTAACATTGAGGCCAGGGCCTGGAAAGGTTGAGGGGGCCCCAGACCCCAGGATTTACAGATCTGGACCTTGAAAGGTTAGGGGTCACCACCCAAGGGTCAAGGGTTAGAATTCCCCGGTGGGAGGTGGCTCACCCTGTGGTAGCTGCATGATGGCCACACTCAGGCCTGACAGCAGATCACCCAGAAGCCACTCACGCACTGGGTATCTGGGTAGCCAGGCCAAAACAGGAAGGCGCTGTAACAGCAGGGCACGGGCCCGAGCTCGGGAGCACCTGAGGACATGAAGGGCAGGTATCAGGAACAGGGGTTGTCTGGCACTGCCAGAGTCTTCAGGCTCCATCCCTGAACTTACTGAAACCAGCTCCGCCAGTGGCTGGTGGGGGACCCTGAGCTCCAGTGTCCCAGCTGCTCCAGCTGCTCCTGGTTCAGCAGCGGCCGTTCCACATGGTAGTCTCGCCTCTGCAGCTCCATTGCCTGGGATGCAGACAGCAGTGCCTGCGTATCCCTTGGTCTGGAACACAATGAAACAAGAAAAACACCCTAAGGACACCCCCTGGCCCAGCTCCCCTACACACCCACATCTGGGAACAGAGAAGAACTGATTTGTCCAGGCTCTGAACCACAAAGAGGTCCAGGCCTTAGCTGCCCTCTATGGGCCCCATGCCCACACCCAAACAGGAGCGGGCCTGGACTTTGGCTGGTAGAAGTCTCTTGCTGGGCCAAAGTCTCCCAAGAAGAGACAGAGGATGAGCAAGATCCACACATCCAGACCAGGTGTGGCTGTCAAACCCTTAGGGCTCTATCAGTCCCTGCTGAGGCGGCTGACTTGCCCCTCCCAGTCCATTCCCTTCCTCCAGCCAATCCCTGGCCAGCCTCTGCGTCTTTATCCAGTTGCCCCATGAGCCCAGGGCCGGCTGGCTGGGAGGACATTCAGGGAAGGAATCCAGCAAACCCTGGATGAAGTTCTTTGGACAAATCCCTTTCCAAGTCCCAGGTCTCCACAAGACGACTTCTCAAAGGGAAGAAAAAGTTGAAGCCAAAGTTGCCCCTGGATCCAGGTTAGTTTACAAGCCCAGGCCAAGGGTGGGAAAAGCCAGGAAATGTTCTCACTTGTGGGGGCGGCTCTAGGAAAGAGGGGATCTCAGCTGGAAGGGGAAATTCTCGGATCCTGGATCAGGGAGCGCTCACCCAGGGATAGAGAGAGCTCACCTGGGACTAGATTTCAGATTAGATTTCTAGGGGGGTGGTCTTTTGAGGAGGAGGCAGCTCTTACCAGATGGGAAATCTCTGATCTGACAAGAACGTTCTGATCTGGGAGAGAAACCCTGACCTGGAGAAAAGCTGTCCGGGACATATCTTTCCCCAGATTGGAGATATCAACAGAGAGGATCTTATCTTGGGGAAGCTCTTATGTCCCGGGGAATTTGTCCCTGGGGAAGTTCTGACCTGGAGAGAGGATTTTTTTAACTGGAGAAGTCAACCCACCCCTACCCCGGGGCAGACACTCACCAGAGAAAAATCTCTCTACCGGAATGTCCCGTTTGCAAGAGGGAGTGGAGCCGGGGCAAAACAGATCCTCCAGGCACCACTGTCTCCGGAGATCTCTGAGCCCCCTCACCCCTCCTCCGTGAGTCACACACCCATAAAGGGCTCCCTCCCCTCCTATGCTTGGGGGGCGGAGGCTACATCGCTGGCCCCTCCCTCGAGGAGGGTTCAGGAATACTAGGGGCCGGGAAGCTCAGTCCCTGGTCAGCAGAACCCGTTTCAATGAGCTGGGCCGCCTGCTGAGGGCAGTTCATGTGCAAGTCTCAGCCTGGGACTTCTTGCAGAGACCTCTCACCCCCAACGCCCCCCCAACCGGGACACGTCGGGGGCCAGGGCTCCTCCATCCGCAGCCACCTCCCCAAGGCCCTCGGGCCAGCGTCCGGCGGGGCTTGAACGGCTTTCCGCACAGCGCACCAAGGCCGGGGTCCACAGGCCTGGAGAAAATCGGCAAAAACGGTAAAGCCAGGCGCCGCATGCAGGAAATCCCCGGTTGGTGGGGGCCCGGTGATCCCCGGTTCTGAGCTGCCCGGGGCGCCCGGGCGCCCGCGCTGGGGTTTGCGCCTCGCGCACACGCGCGCCAGGCCGCGGGGACGGGCCGCGCCCACACTCACCCCGACGCTTCTGCCAACCCCATTGCGGGCTAGCGGCCGCGCGGCGGCTGGTCCCGCGGCTCAGGCAGGAGGCCGCTAGGATCGGAAAGCGGCACTGGAAGCGGAAAGTTGGGCCAATCAGCGAGCTGGAGTGGGGTCCCACGTGAGGCTCCCTGGGCGGGTTAACCCCTTCCGCCCCACGTACTGCGCGTAGTCATCCTCAACCCCATCCCTGCCCCAGCCGAGCCCAGTGAGACCGAGGCCCCGCGGGATGAGAAAGGGGCCTGAACTCTTAGCCTTTTGGAGGAGACCCAAATATGTGGGGGGCTATCACGCCTCCAGCTTAGAGCGCCATCCTCAAACTTTCTTTGAGCTGCAGAGGCCACGTCCAAGGCCTCCTTGGCCAGAAAAGAGGCTGTGATACTCCCTCCCTACGAGGAGCACAATGGGGGCCTCATACCCGAAGGATACACCCAGGTCACCAAGGCGCCAGCCAGGCTTTGAGTGCAAAGGGCCGGTGGGCGGGCTGCGAGGGCCAGGGCTTAGGGTGGGTGGGCTGATCCTGATGTCCTCAGCCAATGGTTGCCTAAGCAGGGGATGTCCCCTGTCCTCACCCTTCTTATTCACAAGGCGAAAGGTCAGAATTTAGACTCAAAGGGAGAGAAACCTAGTGCAAATCTCTGATGAAATGGGCTAAAAATAAATAAGATATTCTTGGAACTGGACATTGGGGAGGAGCCTTGGAGTCCTCCTAAAGGTCAGTGGGACCTAAACCGTTCACTGCCACTCGCTGGAAACCCCCAAAGAGAAAGCAGAAAGAGGGGAGCCACCGTTTTTTATAGAAGTTTATTCCCAAAACAGAGCGCGGCTTCACGGAACAATTTACACAGACAGGGGAGGAGGCCGCTGAGCTGAGGTGGGGAGACAGGACCCACCCAAAGAGGGGCATCTACAGAACCTAGGACATAGGCAAACACTCTCTCAACCCCCCAGCAAACCCAGCAGCTCTTCAGGGGCTGGGATCCTTCTAGGTCAAGAGAGCTGGGGTCAAGGCTGGTGAGGTTTGGCATCAGAGAAGTGGGATTTCTAATCTCCTTGGAAACTGCCTCCCATGTGTGTATGGGGTGTCTGCACAGAACACTCCCCAACCACTGTTTCCAATGGAAAGAGAAGACCCATTCTGCAGGCCTCTGGGTCTGCCATTGCGATGGGGGGGACTCAGGGTTGACCTTTGGCCTGAGGGATAGGAAGTCCCCTTTAAGGCAGCCAGGTCCAGGGTCCTCACAGGAGGCTCCTCCAAGACTCTCTCCCACTTTCCCTTAAATTTTACTTGTAAACAATGAAAAAAATAAAACATTCTCAACTGTAAACGAAGTGTAAAAGTTTTTAACTGTAAACAAAGTAAAAAAAAATCATTTTTAAAAAAACCTTAACCTGTAAACAAAGTAACATAATTGAAAAGTCCCTAATCCTGGATGACATCTGACAGATAATAAAAGTGACTTTTCTGAACAGAGTCCTAACAGTCATTTTCCCCTTAATAAGGGAAGAAAGGAGGGGTGGAATTGAGTCACTTCCGCCAGCCCCGGAGCCTGGGGCCAGAGAGGTTCCTGTAAACATGAGAGGCAGGAGTGTCTACATTCAGGGTCTTGAATTCCCTTATATCTGCTCCCTTGGCTCTCCTTCCCATCCAGCCCCGTGAATAAATTCTACCAGGGGGCAGTGTTGGGGAATGAAATGGCACCACAGACAGTTTTTGCTCCTAACAGGGTAGGAGTGAACAAAGGGATGACATCCATCCACCTCCTGCAGGAATGTCTGAATAGAGACCTGACCCTTCCCGATGGGGGGAAGGGAAGCCTTGCTCTGTAAACATCATCACCTCTGCTGCTTCACCAGCACCCCACAGCATCAGTCCTAGGTCATAAGGCAGTAAATGGCAGGGACTCCCCTTAAGAAACATATGTATCCCCTGGGAAGGATGCATGAGAGAATCTCTGGGAGGAGGTGAGAGGATCCCCATCTGCAAGAGTAACCCTTAACCCCACAAGTTTGGCCCTTGGGACAGTTGAGAAGAAGCAAAGATCAGTTCTGCACAATTGGGCCCCTACAATATTCAAATCAACCTGGGAAAGTATAGGCACCCCAGTGAGATAAAGAGAAAAAGACTGTTTTTTCCAAGGACCCAAGTGGGACCAAGCTCAAGCTCTGTACCTCTCTCCCTCTGATCCCCTCCCCCCCAGCCCAGCCTCAGACCCCTCAGGGGGGACGGAAAAGCTGAAAAATAACATAAACATATCTCTCTGGTTACAAAGGTACAAAACGTATAAAAGTCCTTCTGTTCCTGCCTGCACCTGTCACACGCATGCTCACAGATGCGCATGGACCCTTAGCCCAGCCACCACAGGAGAGCTGCGGACAGCTGCTTGGGGTCAGCCCCTGGCGGCTGGAGTCTCTTCCATCAGCCCAGCTCCTTCATCACCCTTCGCTTGTCCTCATTTGCACCGACTGCTTCTCAGGAGTGACCCTCACTCCTGGGGACTCTGCAAAGGTGAATGTGGAAAGCAAAGGTCATCACTGAGAGGGCTCAGTCCGGTGGGTCCCAGGAGCCCTTCTGCCCCAGACTCAGCTTAATCCACCTCCCTCTGCATCATTGTCTCTTGCCTTCTGTGTCTCGGTACTGCCACCTCCCTCTGTGTCCACTCCCAAGTCCTCATACTAGAACCCAAGACTCCTTACCAAGGGCCCTCAGTCATCTACATCTTTTCTCTAAGTGCTTTGCAGGTCTCTATTATGTATAGATTACCTGTTCAATACTTGCAAGTAATTGTTTTCTAAATCTCCATATTGATTACAGAGCCATTTTATAGTTGAAGAAACAGAGGCTCAGAGAAGTCAGGTAACTTCCCCAAGTCACACATCTAGTGAGGTGATAGGCAGAACTCAAACTCAGAACCTGAGCCCCTGCCTAACCTCCTAGACCACCTCCCATCCGCCAGACCCCAAGGATAGGTGGTAGGGGCCCAGCGGATGAGTTCGTTTCTTCTCATCTCTACTCTCTGAAATCCTTCTGGGGTCCTAGTTCCCAGCCTCTCTGCCTTTTCCTTGTTTTTCTGTTTTCCCCAATCTTGGATTCTGCTCAGGTTCTGCTGGCTTTTCCTGCCTCACTCCATGAGACTCCTTCCCCACAAAACCGTCTCTACGAATTCCTAAAACCTGATTCGGTTTAATTCTCTTTCTTGAAAATCAACTCTCATTTTGGTTCTCAAAACCTGGAAACTCTTGACTCTGCTTGCCTGTCATTTCTTCTCTGACTCCTTTTAGGGAGGACGCCCATCTCTTAAACAGTGGTGTGTGTGGCCTCCCGAGAGGTGTTCTTGAAGACATTTCCTCCTGAGCCCAGGCCTGTAGATCCCCCCTGCTTCCCTGCTATGTCTGTCCACAGGTGCCCCACAAGCATCTGAGATGCTGAAATGCAGTCAACTCCTGGGAGCCCCACTCCACAGCACCCACAGACAGGGAATAAAGTATTGACTAAATGAATAAATTATTAACCTCTGACAGGATGAGCTCTTCGTTCTGTCTGCTGAGCCTGGGTAACCCACGTGTTACCTGACAATTCCTCCCTACTCTACACATGGGCTGTTGCCCTCAACATAAGAGTGTGAACAGATGACATGGCCATGCTTACTCCGAGTCTGGCGATAGCTCTGAGATGCTGTGGGAGGTGGCAGAGCGTGGAGTGGAGGGCCCAAGAGCAGAGGCCGTGGCAGTAGTATGGGGCCCCGAGGGCGTACTTGAGGACTGCACGGAGGAGGAGAGGGCTGAGGAGTTGAAGGAGGCAAGAATGGAAGAGAGAATGTCCAGCTGCTCTGTAGAGGGGCCATGGCTGGGGCCAGGAGCTGGGTCCTCTCTGCCTCGGAGCAGCTGTGGGGGTGGCCCGAGGCCTTCCCGTGAGGGGTGCTGGCTAGGCACCTGGTCCAGCTGCTCCCGTGAGTTCGATCTCCTGGACAGAGAGTCCAAGGGCCGGGATGGCAAGAGGGGGTCCCTTGAGAGTTGCCGTTGGGGACTCAAGGGCAGAGGTGGAGGCTGAAGGTCAGGGTCCCGGGAACTACGGGGCGGGGGCAGCGTGCTCATCCACTCTCGGGGTGCTCCTAGGTCCAGCGCATCCCTTGACCCAAAGCGACCAGCTATGGCACCAGGGTAGTCCCGAGGTGGCTGCCTCCGTGGCAGAGTGCTGCCTCGATCCCTGGGCTCCAGGCGGCCAGGTGCGGCATCAAGGCGTTCCTGGGAACCTGGCCTGCTCAGAGGATGCAGAACAGGGGCAGGAGCCTCCTCCAGTCGCTCTCGGCTCAGCTGCCGTCGTAGGAGCAGGTCCAGCTGTTCTCGGGAGGAGTAGCGGCTGGCTGGCTGTGAAAGGCTGCCTGTGCCTCCACCAGCATAAATGCGGCCATAGGAGGCAGCTGGCACTGCACGGTGGCCCAAGGTTGCTGCGCGGCACCAGGACAGCTCGGGGATGCCTCGGGTCTGTGGAACCAATGGGTACTGCAGCCGGTTCTTCAGGATGCCTGTGGAAGGAACAAGTGGAGACAGGGCAGGAATTCAGCTGCTCCACACGCACATGAAAGTTGAACAATGAATACGGAAGAACCAAAGGACTCATGCCTTTGACTTGTGGTGGTGGAGATAATTGACTATGTTATGGACTGCCAAAAGAATAAGCCTGTCTGGAAAGAAGGGCAGCCCGAGTGCTCCTCAGGAGGCATTGTTTCACAGAATTTGGGCATGTCTTAGGAAGGGCAGGTCTCTGGAGAAGGCAGGCTATCATGTTTAGAAAGTGTGGGTGAGTGAAAAAAAATGTATTGACACTATGTCTGCAACAGCGGACTCTGGCACAGCATCAGGCAGACTGCATTCTGTTGTAAACAGCTTAACAACCTAACGGCAGCAAGGAGGCAGCAACCCATGGGGAAGAGGGCAGAGGCCAGAAACTTCCTGGAGGGTCTCCTGTGAGTGCATGTCTTGCCTGAGGTTAGAGTAGGGCAGCCTCCGGGTCCTAGCAATACCTCCCCTGGGGTCAGAGGAGCAAGAATCCCCTGGGTTGAAGCAGGTGCAGCCCCCAGGTTCCTTGCCGTGAAGTGGTGGGAGCAGAAACCCTTTCGGTTGGGACAGGGACAAACCTTAGGGGTCCCTGGAAGACAGAAGCCTTCTATATTAGAGCAGAGTCTTTGGAACCTGGAGGTGGGAAGCAACAGTTCCCAGGGTCCTATAAAGCTGAATGGAACTGTAAGGGGACCCCCTCACCAGGTGCACTGACTCTCTCAGTGCAAGCTGGGGTATGGAGGGTGGCAAGAACCTCCTGGGTCAGGGTTGGGCTGAGCCTGGAGACTTGTGAATCAGGGTCAGGAGGCAGAAACCATTGCATCAAGGCATGGGCAGTCTCCAAGATCAATCAATACCTTTCCTCTGTCGCTGGACCCGGCCCAGGGAGGTTTCGTCTCCACTGGTCAGGGCCAGATCCAGCTGGTTGTTGTTGGCTGCATCCTTGCTGGTGTCCAGCCCCAGGCGCCTCTCGGAGCCCCAGGTCTGCAGGGCACAGGGAGCTGCTTCACATTCCCCCAGCGCTGGCCAGTAGGATAAGAGGTCATTGCCATCCACATCTGTAGAGTCAATAGGTTACAGACTCAAGTGACCCTTGACCTCAGTGATCCCTGACATGCTGGCTATTCTCACTAAGCAAAGGTAGGAGTAAGAGGGTATCTCTGAGATATTAATGAACCTGGTAAGGAGGTTAGTGACAGCTGCCCATTGTCCGCACCCAGGCTGGAGTGACAGAAACCAGGGGACAAGTGGGATTCTGGGATTGAGGAGTCAGGAAGACCAGGCTGAACGTTGGTGTGCAGGGAGGACGAGGTGATTGACGTGCAGAAGGCAGATCACGCTATAGCACCCTTATGCATTACTCTACTGACCAAGTAGGCCCTGCTCTCTAGCCAGCAGAGTGCCACTGGCAGGCTGGATGGAGAAAGGTTCATGGGGTGATAACCCCAGGATAGGGACCCCAAGAGGTTCCCAGTGACTTAGACCAAGACGTCCTCAGGGAGCCCCCAGGCCCCTTCAGTCACACACAACTGGACAGTGGAGTGTTGGGCATGGGGTCAAGGGATCCTCATCACCTTTGGGGTGGGTGAGGAGCCTCTCGCTCTGGGCTGCCCGGCGGAGTGGACGCTGGAAACGTCCCCGTGTCCGGCCATTGTCTTCACTCTCTGAAGATGGGATGGACAGACTCCTTTCCTCCTCCAAGGACAGGTCACTGTCTGAGTCGGAGTCTGCACCTGGGGTTGGGAAGGTCAGAGGGAGGAGGGCATAGCAGTGGCTTGGGGAAGACTTAGGGGGTGAGGAAAAGAACCCAGGTTGAAGGGTCTCAAGACTAGGTGCTGCAAAGGGCTGGGGGCTGGAGACCTGGAGGGCCCATGGGGTGGGGAAGAAGAGGAAGGGCCGGGACTTATCCGGTGGCAGATCAGGTCAGACAGGAGCATGGGGAACCTGGCACATGGGGTGGCTGGCTCCTTAGTGACCTGGGGAGAGCTCACCCCACCCCAGCCCAGTGGGCCACTGCTCTGAGTCTAGGGCAGAGAAAGGCCAGGAGAGATCTCCAATGTGCCCCTCCGCCCTGGCCCAGACCCCCACCTCCACCAGCATCTCGATGGAACATGGCCACATCCAGGTCAGTGGGGCCAGTGTGGGCCTGGAGGCTGTGGTCAGTGTGGTCAGCAGCCGAGCCATGTCGAACCAGGACATTGTCCCTAGAAATGCAGGAGCCCCCATCAAAGAGGATTCTCTGGAGGCTGGTAGGTCTGAGTGAGGAAGAGTTGGGGTGCAGGCAACAGCAGGGACCCAGGTTCTGGCATGATGGCAGACATACTACTCTGAAGACCTTGTGATATTAACTACCTGAAGTATGGGATGGATGGATGGATGGATGGATGGATGGATGGATGGATGGATGGACAGGAGTTCAGGGTCCAGCCTCCCCAGGAGAAAATTACTAGGCCTTGGCCCAAAGGCTTATTTCCTTTGGGGTGGGGACCCCACAGATTCTGAGACAAGGAAATGGCCCTGGGCCCGGCTTTTGTGACTCCTACCACTCCCAGCAGATCCCTAATCCAGCCCAGACTTGACCTGGGAGTGTTTTTCAAAAACCCTGAGGCCCTGTTACAGCACTGATTTTCCCTCCCACAGACAAGTTTGTGCCATTTTTCATATTCCCTGCCTCAGCGCATTCCATCTTCACCCCTAATCCACCATTCAGAGGCCTCCAAAACCTCCTTCTCCCACCTACAGTAACAGTTACCAATCCCTGAAGGCCAGAGAGGCAGCCCAGTAAGGCCCTTCTCACTGCCCACTTTCTACCTCGCCCCGGTCCGGTGTGCCCCTCATGAGGTGGCCCTCCCACCAACCTGAGGTAGCTGCGGCCCCGCTGGCTGTCCTGGTCCTGGGTGCGGCCAGAGCGGGCACTGCTCACTGAGGAGACGGTGGAGGCACCCAGAGTGATCCGTATGAGGCCGCTCTCTTCGAAGAGGGCTGTGTTGTTGTAGGCTCCTGGCACCTGGGGGATGAGGTGGGGAATAATGTGTGAGGCCGGCCTGGAGAGACCTGGAGGTGTGGAGAGACCTGGAGTCTTGGCCTCCCAAGACCCCTTCCCAACCTATCCCCGGGCAGTCCCTCACCGCCGCAGGTGCTGGCCTCGCCTCCTCAGGCGCTGCCTTCCTGCTCAGACAGGCTGGCGTCCAGGCAGCCCGGGCATCTGCATTCAGGACACAGAAGAGCAGCAGTACTGCCAGGCCCTGTGGGTCAGCGAGGATAAGTGAGAAAGCAGAAAAGGTCAGGGGAGGGTCACTAGGTGTTAGGCGTCAGCATAAGCCACTGTGGGTCAGCCAGGAGTCCAACGAAGCTCAGTAAAAGAGGACAAGTCAGGAGCTCTGGTGGCCTAGTGGCAAGAGGCTGCACTGTAATCCTGAAGGCGCAAGGTTCAAATCCACTGGAGAAGGAGGAGCAATCACCTGTAACCAGTCAGATCTGACTCTACAGTAAACACACACACATATAAATAAATAAAATTTGAAAAATAGGGCAAGTCAGCAGGAATGGTGAGAAGTCAGTGTGTGACTGGAGTCAGTAAAAGTCTGTGAATGGTGTTAGGTAGGGAATGAATGGTGTCCCCAAAAAACATGTGTCCCTATACATATGGACAGGAGCTCTGGTGGAGTCATCCATACAGAACTGAGCTGCTAACACAAAGACACACCATTCCTCCTAAGATTTACAGCCTGAGAAATACAATGGGGAGTCAGTTAGGAGTCAGTGCTCACTTGATGGCAATGAGTTTAAAGTCATCCTTATGGATGAGATCCCCTTGGGGTTGCTTTGTCATGTTTGTGGGGCCATTGTTGTTGTTAGGTACCATGGACCCTATGAACAAAAGGTCTGAACCCTGTTTTATCCTGAGCCACCCTCACACTTCCTGACACACAAGAGCCCACTGTAGCAGTCACCATGTCAATCCACCTGGTTGGGGGTCTTTCTCTTCTTTACCAACCCTCCAGCCTTCCCAGCATCATGTCCTCCAAGGAATGGCTGTATCTTCCTCAAACTCAACTCATTGCCACCCAGTTGGAAATGATTCATTGCTGACCCTCCAGTGAGTTTTCAGAGTATGTAAATCACAAGGTAGGAGACTGCTCATCTTTCTGCCTTGGGCCAGCTGGTGGATTTGAACAGCCTGCTTCTGGGTTGGCAGCATAGCTCCTTAACCCACTAGGCCACCAGAGCTCCCTCTATCGGTGTAAGGTGTATTTTAAACCAAATGGCTTTTGAGATAGAAAAAGAGGCATCAGACACAGAGAGGAAGTAACACAGTAAGGGGAATGATAGATGGCAGGAGGAGCCAAGGAATGGAAGAACTCGGCGCTGGAGCTGGCAGAGAGGGGGCACAAAGGAAGCCTTCCTATGCCAGTGCCCTGAATTCTGATGTCTAGTTTCCTAAATTGTGAACAAACACATTTCTGTTAAAGTTGTCCACTGGCGGTGGTTCTGTTACAGCAGCTCTAGATAACTTAGTCAGTGTGGATGAGCAAAGGGCCAGATGCCTCAGTGTCAATGAAGGTCAAGCCAAGGTCTGCACCCCACCTGGGGTCACTGTTCTGCCTAGGGTTAGGTCCAGGCTGCTGCAGCCCCACCTGGCTCTGGAGTGTGTGAGGGGCACTACAGTTACCTGGAGGCCACAGAGTCCAGCATGGAGGTAGTGGAAGGCCAGGACACTGTGGTTGACTGCCAGAAGGCCAAAGAGCCAGGAGGCACTGACCAGGAGAAGCAGGAGAAAGGAGCTGCGAAGGGTCCTGCTGTGGGGACATGGAAGGACACACAAAGGTTATACAACTGACATATGGGGGACACTGGAGGGCATGTGGGGGTGACACGAGATGACACAGAAGATGGGAACTCACGTCAGAACATGAGAGGTCTCAGGCACTAGGTCACACAAAGAATCAAGACAGCATTTGAGGAGTCATGTGAGGAGATGGAAGGAACACGCAGGAGTGTGGGGGCCATGACAGCATGAGGGACAAGGAACAAAATGAGCCAGAGGAGGATATGGGAAATACTGGGGAGACCCAGGGGAAGGGGAGACAAAAGGGGGAAAGTACATGTGGGGGCAAAGCATAGAGAATGCCAGACTGAAGGCCAAGGTGGGTGTGACTGCATCCCCCTCACCCAGAATTTGGAACCCAGGCTGCATCAGAGATGTACAGGGGACCCAGAGATGTACAGGGGGACCCCAGACCCCACCCAGCAGAGGTCTGGCACCCTGAGAGTCCCCCTCCACCACCAGCCAACTCACAGCACGGAGGTCTTCTTGGCCTCCCTCTGCTGTGCCGTGGAGCAAGATGTGCGGGCGGCGAGGACAAACAAGGTCCCGTTCATCTAGACAGAGAAAGTGAGACAGCGAAGTGAGAGACAGGAAAGAAAACAGAAAGAAAGCAAGGCTCACAGGGACAAAGCCAGTGAGAAATAAACCAGTCAGAGAGACAGAGAAAGAGAGAGATCAGACACAAAGGGAAAGAGGGATATATGGTCACAGAAAAAGTCAAAGGTTGGGGAGTGGAGAACTAGACACTGAGAGATGGAGCTACTCAGATAAAGGAGGAGAGAGTATCCAAGTCTCCAGCCCAATGCCCCGTTTCCATGACAACAGAGCGAGGAATGCTTGCACAGTAACCAGAGAGCAGAAATGGAGACTGAGCCCAGAAAGCTTGGGGAAGGCCAGCTGGCATCCCTCAGGGTGAGCCATGACATCACCACATCTGTTGCAGGGGCCCTATGAAGGATGCACGTGGGGGTCCCAGCACAGGGCGCTCACCATGATGACTAGGATGACAGGGCCCGCGAAGCTCCAGATGAGGGGTTCGTGGACAGAGATCCAGCAGAACTCAGGGTTCCCATAGCCCTCAGGGTCCAGGCCAACAGCAAGGCCTGGGAGGAAAGGAAGAGGGAGGACCAAAGGGAGTATGTTCCAGCTGCTGACACCCCCATAGGTGGGAATAAGGGGTGAGGCAGGCTCTGCCCAGAGGGGATGACACTCCAAGGCTGAGCTTTGGAGGACATGAAGAAGGCTAGGGGACAGGGTTAGGAATCATGCCCATGTGATGGACAGAGACCAGTGGGCAGAGCCCTCACCCAGCAACACGGCAGGCACGCCCCAGCCCAGTGCATGGTAGAAGCGCATGGCACCACGGTCTACATTGCGGGGCTCCACTTGCATTCGGTAGAGGTGCAGCCCCTGCACCAGGAGCCACGCGAACGTGCTGAGGAAGAAGTAGTGCAGGACGATGGCGACGGCAGTACACAGCAGCTGGGGGCAGGGCGAGGCGTCAGGACCATTCCTGCCCTTTCCTGCTCCTCACCCTCAGGCCATCTGACTCCCGGACCTCACCCTAAACCCTGGCCCCAACCTGAACACTCCTGACCACTGCCCCCGTTTTGACCCCCTTGTCCTGATCCTGCACCTGGTTGTGGGTCCTGTGGATCCCCAGCAGGAAGAAGAGCTCTGCTACGCCCAGGGCCGCCGCCACGTTGGCATGGATGCCACGCACGTTGGACTTGAGGCTGCGCAGGCTCAGCAGGACGGTCGCGGTCAGGAGCAGTGTGGCCACAGACACTGCCATGACCACATGGGTGAACACGGCCAGCAGCTCCAGGTCCCCCTCCAGGCGCTGTGGGAGCAAGGACGGTCACTGTGGTGTCGGGCAGAATCCCTTTGTCACTTCAACCCTACAGGACTCTGAGCACGGCTTTACCTCTCGGGGGGAGGCATCCATGAGGACCCCAAAGGTGCCAGTCCGACTGCAGCGACACCGTGCGTGCGACCCGTTCCTGTGCACCAGTTCACAGTCCCTCGCTGTCCACAAGCCGCGCTGCTCTGCCCTGTAGCCACAGAGCCATCAGGTCTACCGTCCCACTGGGGAAGGGTCCACTGCGTGACCCCTTGGGGGAGTGCCCACTGACAGACAGGTTTGTGAGAGGTCATGCCCATAAATCTGGTCATATAAGAACATCAGGGCCTCCCAGGGGGTAACAATGGGACCCAGAGTTTCAGAAATGGGCATTCTCACGGGCCAGGTGGGTCCCATTGCACGCAGATCGCCTTGCTCCGGTTCGCTGTCTGCAGCAGGCGGAACTCAAGGTTGATCGGAGACTCCAGGAGACCCCTTATGAAGTTGCGACCATGGAACACGGCCACGCTGACCACAGGGGAGTTCATGACGGGGTTCTGGGGCAACCTGGGGAGACAGCTCATCTGAGTTGGGATACCTCGCCCAGTCCTTGCCGATTCCAAGTGCTGCCTCTTCTAAGAAGCCCATTTAAGTGACTGTCATGTGAGGCTAACCCAGACCAAGGGGCTAGAACCCTAAAGAAATGGTGTGTTCCCTGCTGCAGAGGCCACCAGACCTACTGCCCAAGCTGAAGTCTGAGGCAGGAGAGGCTTCAGGCAGTTCACCCTGTCTTGCCACCCACCCTCATGTGGCTTCCATCAGCTGGCCTGTCTTTGTCTCGTTTTTGGCCTGTCTGTCTTGATCGGTCAGTTTGCTTGTCTATAAGTGACTGTCCCCTCCATGCCTCTGTGTCTGTCACCGTGCAGCTCTGCCACTTAGCACAACTCTAGGGGACATGATTCACAAGCAGCCTTGTGTGGATAAGGCTCGTGGGAGCTGTGCACAGGAGCATCTCTGGATGTTTGGGAGTAGCCGCTCTGACCACCAAGTAAAGGGGACACTGGGTCGGCTAGATGTTCATGGAAGAGCTCAGGGAAAGAAGTCTGGAAGCAGCATTGTGTATGGTACCTGGCGCCCCGGCGCTCGGCCTGGAACTGAGCAGGGAGCAACTCCCCCAAAGTGCGGTACACAAGGAGGATGATGATGGAGATTCCGGGCTCGGCCTCAGGCTCCGGGGCGACAGGTGGGGGAATCACATTCGAGGCTGTTGCATTTTCTGTGCTGCTGCTGGTGGAAGGAAGAACTGCCGGGGATGGGGTGGGGGTGGGGTGGAGAAGGTGCCACTGTTAGTGACCTCTGACCCTGGCCACCCATCTCTGAACAAGCATGAGGGTCCCTCTTTCTGGTAGAACTGGGGAGTGTAAGCAGAAAGTCTGTGAAGGAAGAAACCCAAGAAGGGCTCCCCAGAGCTGACCCCTGCACATCTAGCAAGGTGAGGCCAGTAGGAAGGGGTGTGTGTGTGGGGGGGTAGACGTGGGAGCATTCCACAGAGCAGCGAATATGGGGAACGTCCGGCAAAGGGGTAGTGGTCAAGAGGGCAATGTGGTATCTGGCCTGAAAGGAACAGAGGAATAAGACCTGGCCCAGGGGTCACCCCAGGATTCTTACCTTCTGGTTGGAATGGCCGGGGGGACTGGGATGGTAACAATACATGGGTATGAGGGTCCCAGGCATCCTGGCCCCGGAAGAGGTTGCTGTGGTAGCGAGGATAGCGGCGGGCCGCCCGGGTCGGACTGGGGTGCTCCATGCGGTCAATACTGAGCACTACCCAAGAAGATGAAGAGTGAGGTCAGCCATAGGCTCCTCCCCCTGCTAAGGATTCTGCTCACTCCTACCCCTAATTTGTATGCATCTCCCACAATCCACAGCTTCCTTGCCATCACTGCAGAGCCTGACCCTGCAAACCCCAAAAGGGGCCACCCAGCCTCCTGACCACCCTCCATGGACAGCTCTCAGCATCCTGAGCCTCTAGGTCCCCACCTTTCCGCAACCTTGTGTCCTCTCCCTCCCCATCCGCTACGCACTGATATTGGGTGTCACGAGCCCCACAGGATTCAGGTACGTGAGTTCCATATTCCTTGCGAGGGTGGCTGCATACTCTTCCAGATGCTGTACCAGCCCTGCACTGCCTGGGGAGCCCCCGGGGGCCCGCTGTCCCAGTGCTGCCCACAGGTCCTCAGTCTCCGGAGCAAGCAATGCAGAGCCAGCCCATAGCAGGTTCTAGAGAGAGGTACAGCTCGGATCAGCCAAGTGGGGAGGACAGCTGAGGGGTCTGGTCAGGTGTTCAAAAGGATCCCAATAGGTTGGCTATTATATGGGTGAGGAGGACAAAAGAAAAGGGGGATACTGGAGGGGGAGCTGAGCTAGGAGCCAAGACTGGGGGTCTAAGAAGCCAGTGATCATGGTCTAAGAGCAGAGGGTTGGGGGTAGAGGGTACCCTGTCTCACCTCATTGAAGTGGGCATCCTGAGTGGCTGTCAGCCCAAAGCCCTGCTGATGGCTCTCAAAGGCCAGGAGGTGGGCCAGCAGGCGGGCAGTGACTCGGACATCTTGGCTGAAGTAATGGTCAGTGTGGCCGGTCACTTCTCGCAGCCGCTGAGCCAGTTTCTTGGCCTCCATGGTGTCCAGTGTTGTCTTATTCAGCTCAAGGCCATCCAGCTGCCAACATAAGGACGGAGTGGTTGCTGCAGAGTTCTCCAGGCCCAGCACAGGGGAAACCTGGCAGAGTTCAGGAGGCTAAGGGCCGGGATATGCTACTTAGGCCCCACCACAAGCCGGAGGGGGGGAGTAGGGCCTGCTCCCTGAGGGCCCCAGAGGAGATCTGGTGGCATCTTACCAGCAGGCTGAGTTCTCGGAAGGCAGGGGAAGTGCAGTTGAAGAGGTCAGGCTCCAACCAGCCTCGGTCCTCATCACACAGTCGCACAGCAGCACCTGGGGACACGCAACCTCTAGTAAGAATTGAGGCCTCGACATCTTCACTGAGGAGTTGACCAGAACCCATCCAGGTCTTAGGGGTAGCCCTGAGGCAGAAGCCAGAGCAATGGGATATCTGTGGTTATGCTCCTGGCCCTCAGCCCAGCTGAGTGTCACTCAACGTGTGAGAGACTTGTGGGCCATCCTGACCCAACCACATAAATGAGAATACAAGAGTAGAGTCACAAATGCATATATACACATCCCCCACCACATATATAAATACATACCCACACACTACATAACTAAATACATACACACACATACACAAGTACATGGCCTAGGACAAGCACACACACAGTGTTCTCTCACACACAGACATGCTGACATAGAAAAGGTCTTTCAGGCGAGCTCTGGTGGCCTAGTGGCAGGGAGCTGCACTGCAGTCCCAGAGGTGTGCGGTTCAAATCCACCAGATGCTCTGCTGAAGAAGTAGGAACAATTGCCTCCTGTACCGATCAGATCCAATTTGATGGTACACACATAAAAAATAATAATTAATAACAAAAAAAATAATAATAATTAAAAAAATTTTAAAAAAGAAAAGGTCTTTCAGGAATATTCTGTAACCAAAATGCATTATGTATGTGTGTGTCAGGATGGTATCTCGCAGTTTGAAACAATTCCATGGTAGCTCCGTCACTATCTCCTCTCCTTATATGTGGGGTTGGGATGGTGATAGGATGACAACTGACCTGAGACTCTCAAGAGAGTTCATGGCCACCAGCAAGAGGGATTCTGACCTCAACACAGAACCTTCCCTATTCCGACAGACTCAGACACGTGCGCAGGTACAGAGAGACACACATGTGAGCATGCGCACACGGCCAATCTTTGTCTAGCCACAGCAGCGAGCTCAAGCAGTGAGGGTTCTGCAGGGAAGCTCAAGCAGCAAGGGGAGGCCCTCAAGCAGCAGGCAGGAGTGTGCCAGGTCCCGAGACACAGCCAGCGGGGGAAGGGACTGCATGACCTCAGGCAGTGATCAGAGGCCAGCAGAGGCCTCTGGAAGTAGACAGAGGTCTGTAAGAAGCTTCAGGCCTGGGGAGAGGTCTTCAGGGAAGAGTTTCTGATGACCTTCCAGGACATAAGGCAGTTGGGAACAGATTTTTGAGACCTCAGGCAGCAGGGAGGGTTTGCAGGGACCTCAAGCAGCAAGGAAGGATCTATAGAGATCTCAGATGGCAAGGAGAGGTCTGCAAAAGCTCTGGCAATGGGAGGGGTCAGCGCACCTGAGCAAACACGTACCCCTTACCTGTACCCCGCAATCCTGCCCAGAAGCCAGGAGAAACAGATGGAGGCTCAGTGAGGATGTGGGGAAGGACCCAGAGCCCTGAGGAGGGCAGTGAGGGTGAGGGGCCCACAAGGACCTCCCTTTCAACTCCCACCTCTGTAGGAGCAAGACCACCCAGCTCAGGAGAAGAATAGCTCCAGCGATCAGAGGATGAGCCCACCCTACCCCTCAGCAGGGCTCCCATGCCCACATACTCACCCAGCGCCCCCCGGGGACAAGGCACTGTGGCCAAGACACCAAATTTGGTCTGGGGCCACCACACACCAGCTCTCAGGGACTTGGGACATGCATCATAGAGCACTGGGGAAGAAGGAGTCAGAGTCAGACAGCCAAGGGTAGGCCAGGTCCCAGGGTCTCTCCACCACTCCCACAGGACCTGCTTCCCACCACTACCCCACTGGTCTGCTATGAGACGTCAGCCCAGACTCTGTAGCAGGCCAGTAAAGTACTTGGAGCAAATGGCTTCCTGAAGTATAAGCAACTTCCCTCAGAAGACACCGCCCAGAGCCCCTTCCCCAAAAAACCCAGTAGGACCCTGATATTGTGTGGCAGCAAGCTGGTGTCAGCTCTCTATAGCTGGAGCTATGTGGAGTCTGCTCACCTCGGCAGCCGCTGGCTGTCACCTCTGCAAAAGGACTGTCACAGCTATTGCACTGGCGGCCAAGGGCTCCTGGGCGACAGGGACACTGCCCACTGTGGGGTGCACAGGAGCGCGAGGTGGAGCCCACGGGGTAGCAGTCACATGGAAGGCATGAGTCGCTGCCCCGGGGTCGGTAGTGAAACTCCTGTTTGAGGATGGGTCAGGGGCCTGAGGTCAGAAGTCAGCGTCTAAGGCAGGGGTCTTGGAGCAGGGCTTGGGGGGAAGAGTGGAATCAAGGCAACAGGGTCAAGAGCATAGTGTGTGTGTCCAGAAAAGGGCTACAAGGTCAGAGATCAGACACACCTTACAGTGACACTGCCCGTTGGTCTTGTTGCAGTTGGGGTCAAAGCCCTTGTGCACATTACAGTTGCAGGGGCCACAGGTTGGGCTCCCCCACCAGCCCCGAGGGCACTGCTGGTCCATCCTAGGGGTTGACATCCAGGTGAAGTGGCCCCGTCTCTCAATGAGATTGCACCCCAGCCAGCTCCCTCCATCATCTCAGCCCTAAGCTCCTCACCTGTGCTCACAGTGGTGCCCGAAAAAGCCACCTGGACAGTCACAGGTATAGCCATGGGGAGCCCCAGGGAGGTGCCGGCATGAGCCCTGATTCTGGCATGGGTTCAACAGACAGGCATCCACACAGCCTGGGCCATAGTAACCTGCAGGTGGGAATGAGGGGTGTAGAACACTGATCACACAGTATATAAAAGGGTGTACGCATCTGCTTCTCTCAGTTCCCACACCTTTGCAGTCTCTCAGTCCTCCCCACAGATGCTTGGCTCCTCCCCAGACCACCCTTCCCCTAACCCTCTCAAGGCCCCACCTGGCCAGCAGGTGCAGGAGAAGGTCTGCCAGAGGTCTCGGCAGTCTGAGTGGGGTGGGCAGGGCCCAGACGCACAGGCGTTAGTCACAGCACATCCAGGCTCCACATTCACTCGGTGGTTTGGAGGGAGGAGAGCTGGTGACCCTGAGGGCGTGGAGCCGAGCCATACCCCCTATGGATACATCCAGCCAAGGGTGAGGCCCACATGGAAGCACCTCAGCCCCAGGTCCTACAGAGACAGTCTGGTCTGATGACCCCTGACATGCAGTTGCCCTCAGACCCCCCAAAACCCCAGGGTCTAGCCCTGACATTCTCACTTCAGTCCTCCCATTGGCCTCTAATTGTGCTGTTTCTAATCACTCTTGATAATCTAACCTAGACTATGAGCCCCAATGCCACAGAAAGTCCTGACTCGTCTGATGGTGTTGGGTTACCCCCACCCATGACAGCCCTCACTTGAATGTCTTTTTTTCTTTCTAGTGCCAAGTAACCCCTGACTTCTAACCCCTGATGCCACCATATCATGCTCTCATGCTGACCCCCACCTGGATACAGCCGACCAGACCCTGAGGAACCTCCTCCTCACTGCTGGGGGGCAGTCCTCCCACATGGAGTCGCTTTACCTTCAGGCCCTGCAGTTCATTCCCCACTGCCATGGTGTCCTGGGGGAGGGGACAGGTCAGCACTAGGGGTAGGGGAGTCCAATCGACTCTTGTCTAACCCTCAGGTCAGGCACAGACTTGTGCTAGTTTTACAAGACCATGCTCCATCTCCCTACATCAGGGGAACAGTCTGGGACTGAATGGAGGACCTGTGGGGACATGGAGGGTGATGGACAGGAAAGTTTCATCCCAAAGCTGGACTCAGAATGATCTTGAAATTCTGTGATTCTGACCTTGGGGACAGAGACTAGAGGGGATGTCCAGGACGTGGGTAAAGGGATGGCTGCAAAGATCCCCTAAAGACCAGATCAAAGATCTGAGGGGCCTCCCTGGTATATAAGGAGTAAGTGAAGTGGACCAGTCTGGCTAGTGGGGTGGATTCAGAGAAGGGACATGAGGAGGGGCTAAAGGGAGATCACTGCAGGGAGTTGAGAAGCACTACTGGGGTAAAACAACATGAATCTGGTTGGAGAGCTGAGAACAAAAACCCCAGGGTAAAAGGTCAGACCTGGAAGAGGCTAAAGTCCAATGAAACCATGAGGACATGGTGACCCCGCCGGCCACCTGGTTCCTCTTGCAACTCCAGGCGTAGATCATGCCATCGACCATCACTGACAGTCACCTGGTCCAGGAGGAGGTGGGCAGCATGGCCCAAGCCCCTGGTCACTGTCACAGACAGCAGCCCTTGATACAGCTGTGGAAAGAATGCAAAGGCATAAGATCAGAGACCCATGTTGGGCTAGGGGCGGGGTATCAAGAGGCAAAATCAGAGAACTTAGAGGACAGGAAAATCAGAAGTCAGAATAGCAGAGTCAAGGCAGTACACAGGCACAGAAGGGCTCATGCCAACGGGCGCCGTAATGACGACAGTAGGATCAGAATTAAGGGTTGTGCATCTGTACAGCCGGCACAAGAGCTGTGCTAGGACCTTACACACTGAGGATATCACAGCGGTGAACAGGGACAGGGCCCAAAGCTGCATCAAACGGAGAAGGGTATGCTATGTGACTGGGTCTGAAGCAATAAATACATTGCTTGGTGGGTCAGAGTTTGAAAGCTGAGGGTCCAGAGAAGGAGCAGGCAGGTAGACACACCTGACAGAGGAGCGTGCTGTGTGGTCCAGCCTGTACTTGCATCAGTAACCCCTGTGTTGCGCGTGTCCGGAATGCCAGCCCCAGGTACCACGGTACCGACATGATCACATCATTTTCAAAGTCCCAGCTCAGTGTGCTGTTGCCACGGAAATGGTAAGGATGGGTCATAGCTGAGGGGATAAGAGGAGCAGGGTCACAAGCCCCACCCTGGAAACAGAACTTGTTCCAAGGCCCCTCCTGCCGGGGGCTGCCCACTCACTGAGCCGGCAGTCTCGGCCTCCGAAGCCCACGGGGCAATCACAGATGTAGCCACCCCAGCGTTCTGAGCAGAGCCCACTGTTCTTACAAGGGCTTGAGTCGCAAAATCGCAGCTTGGCCTGGCAGCCTGAGGGGAGGAAGGCACATGGGCGATGTGAGAACATAGGAGAGTGGGCATGAGTGATGGACAAGGCATAGGTGGTCAGAGAAGCTGAAAGAGGCCACGATCTTAGCCTTGTATTCTCTTGGGGTTGGTAGGAGTTGACCAAAGGCAAGACTGTGACTTGGTGCTTGTCATCAAGGGAGACCAGGGTGAAGCCAGATATGGGGACCTCCATGCAGCTCTCTCTCCCCCACTATAAAGGGAATAAGGCTATGGGTGGGTCTGGTGGAAGCTACAGGCTTACCTGCTGTGGTACCATTGTTTGCCACAAAGGCCGCCATGTCCACTCTGCGGCCATCAATGTGCAGGTCCCGCATACAGCCGATGAAGTCCTTGTGGGACACGGGGAAGTTCTCGGGGAGGTTGGGGACACCTCCCAGGAGCAGGGGGCCCGTCAGGTCCAGAGACCTGGGAGTCAGGGGTCTGGGTCATTGGTGGGACTGGGGCCAGGGTGGGGTTGCTCCTGGGGAGTGTTGAACTTGAGGGGTAAGACTGAGAAGGAATGGTGATTGAGAAGGGGGATAAGGCTATGCTGGTAAAGGAGTTAGGGCATTACTTTAGTCGTAGGGGTACAAAAGGCAGCTCATGTTAGGCAGGTGGGCTGCAGGATGTTGAAGGAGATGAGGCTAAGGACTAGAATAAGGAATGAGATATTTAGTGGCTGGAGTGGGAGAAAAACAGAGTTTTGAAGGCTGTACAATAGATTAAGGGGCTAGGTGAGACTAAAGAATTAAATAGAATAGGGCTTGGAAAAGAGACTTGGAGGATTGTGTGGGTAAGAGGCATCTGGAATAGAAGACAGGCCTGAGACTACGAGGTAGTGACCTAAGAAGGTCTTAGGAAGGGGAAAGGGAAATCTGGTGGTTTTCAGGCAAACGACAGGGAGTTTGGCTGGCTGGGATGGGGAGTGAGGCATGTGAAAGGTAGGGGTGGGTCTGGAAGTCAGAAGGTAGTGGGACCAGGGCTGGAAGAGGGGTGCTCACTTCTTGGAGCTTGTCTGCACACCAGCAGCTGCACAGGAATAGTTGCCAATCTCTGCTCCAAACTGCAGGGCCACAGCTACGTCACAGTCATCCACGCTCAGCACAGCCACTTTGTCCTTGGAGGGCCCCTGAACACCCCCCAGAGCATCTGTCCGGGGCTAAGACCCAGGCACACCAGTCAACAGGGGTCCCAGGCTGACCCCTAAGGGGCAGAAGGTGGAGATCCCAGTTCCCTTCAGGCTTTCACACCAAGGGCAGTGCCCACCTTGTTGTAGTATCTCAGATGCACTGTGTGCCACTGCCCATCACTCAGGCCCCCTGGAATCGTAGGGCTGACCACCGTGCTGGACTCGCCTGTGAGGGGACGTGTGTGGACATTGTCTGGAGCTGCTGATTTGTCCCCATTCTCCCAATCATGGAGGAACAACTACTTCCAAGGTCAGCCTAGATGCAGTCAGATATCTCACCCTCCCTACTAGGGACCCCCCTAGCTGGACTACAGTGCCTTTGGACACATTCCTCAGAGAGGTGGACCTTTCCATAGGAAGTGGCCAGGGGAGCAGTTCATCTTGTCTGTAAGGTGTGTCATGGGGCAAATCTGTGGGGACACAGGGCCTACTGCCCTTAGTTATGTCATACATGCACTCACTGGCCCTCACAAACACCCCTTGGGGACACCCACCCGTGGAATATGTGAGCCGCACTTGCCCAGCCACGAGCTCCAGGGCCAGGAAGTCGTGCTTCTCATTCAGGCGACCATTGTAAAACAGTAGCCCACTTGGCTGCACTGTTGAGAACCTGGGTGAGGAAGACGGGGTGCATCATAAACCAGGTACTCTCACACGCCCACCAGCCCTGTAACTAAAAAGCTCACAGAGCGCAGTTCATGCTGGGGTGGAAAAAGAAACAAGCTGCGGGGAGAGGAAGCAAGAAGGCACGTGGGCAATGGCTCTCTGAGACTCTGGATCAGAACATGGGGAGAGGGCAGTGCCTTGGTGGTGTCAGGATGAGGGATAAAGGATTCTGAGTCAGGGTCTGAACTGCAGGGCAGGCGCGCTCAGAGACGTGGGGCGGGCACCTACGAGAGGGACAGCGTGAGGTGGAAGCGCTGTCGCAGGCCCCGAAACATGACGAAGGAACTGGGCGGGAAGGAGCGAGCCGCCACCTCGCATCGGGGGCCCTCGAAGGCGCCGCCCGCCGGACACTGGCAGCGGAAGCCGCCGTCTGGCGCGTCGGCGCAGGTGCCCCCGTTGCGGCAGACACCAGGCACGCAGCGACCAGCCTCCGTGTCCAACTCGCAGTCTTCCCCTGGAAACCAAGGTGCTGTCAGAGACGGTCACCACCACGCCTCACCACGCTACGCGGCGCCCCGCCCCGCCGAGGCCCTGCCCTCCCTAGGCGGGCCCTCTGGACATCTGCCAATAGGGATCGGCCCCGCCCCCCCGCACCGAGGCCCGCCCCCTGCGCATGGCCACGCCTCCTTCCGAGGCTCTCTCAGAAGGCCCTGCTTCTCTCCAGCCCCGCGCCCAGTCTCAGGCGGTGCAGCCTCTGGTCTAACTGCGCCCCACGCCGGCTCTGGTTGGTTCAGCAGCTACGCCCAGGACTCACTGGCCTCGCAATCCCGCCCCTTGCCTTCACCTTAGGCACACCCAGCTCCACCCTGTTCTCCACTCGTCCCGCTCACCGGTGAAGCGCGGGCGGCAGACGCAAGTGTAGCCGCCCTCGCGCCGCGCGCAGGCACCGCCGTTGCGGCAAGGGTTCGAGTAGCAGAGGTCGAGCTCCGTCTCGCAGAAGTCGCCAGTGAAGCCAGGAGGACAGCGGCAGCGCAAGCCAGCGATGGGCTGGATGGGTCGGAAGAGCGTGGAGGCCGAGGCCAAAAAGGGCGCGGAGGAGTCAAAGCGAAGCACAGACACGCATTTCATGTAGTTCTCACAGGGCTCACGGAGGCACACGTTGTCGTCGAAGGGCAGCACATCGAGCAGCGAGCGGGCGGCGAGCGCAGCGCGCCTCACGTACAGCTGCTCCTGCAGCTCCTCGGAACTAAACCAGGGCCCCGCCGCACCCGCTCCGGCCCCGCGCGGGGCCAGGGCCGAGAAGCTCACGTTGAGCACGGTGCCCCCCACGTCTGTGTCGTTCTGGATGTTGAAGATGAAGACGTCTTCGGCTGGTGTGGCAAGCACCGCAGCCACACCTTCGAGGAAGTGGCCCAGCAGTGGAGACAGAAAGCGCTCCTGCCACATATTTTCGAGGCGCACGGTAAGGCTGTTGGCCAGCAGCTCCTCGGTGATGATGACCACTCGTAGCACGCACTGCGCGGTCACGCTGTGCAGGCCATCTGTGGGCAAGCAAGAGCCGAGTCAACCTTGTGCTTGGAACACAAGCAGGTTTGGGGTCAGTGACTGATTGCCTGATCCCCTGGCACTTGTGAGTCAGCGGACTGACCCCACCAGGGCACAAGAGGATCTGGGGCTAGTGTGACCATCTATTCCCCAGAACCAGGCTGCTGCTTCCCACTCCTGCCCAAAGAGGGGTCTACACCATCCAACACTCAACACCACTTGTGAGTCAAAAAGACTTCCTAAGAGCACACAAAAACGTCACCAGTGAGCCACTGTCCTCCATGGTCATGACCGTGGTCTGCAAGCCACTCCTAATCAGGACTCAAAGGGGTGACAGGGTCACTGGCTCCTCATCTCCCCTACCTCCTATGATAACAGAACAACAGCATGTCTCCAGGAAACAAGGAAGGTTCCAGGTGAAGAACCCACTGATCAGGGCTACATTTCTCATGGATTAGCAAACTTCTCCTTTATGAAACTGGAGTGTGTACTGGTCCAGTGACTACTAAATATCCCTCTCCCCAGAACCCTGCCTGGGTGAGCAAGTTCTCTCATTTCAGGAGCCCTGGAGCCCTGGCTTCCTTTAACCCCAACGTTCGGTTCAGTGACTGCCCATTCCCTCAGAATCGATTTTGTGACCTGAGGGGCCACTCCCAGAAATGAGTATGAGTCATTTATGTGCCTGTTCCTTTTGTCTCCAGATCCTACTGGGCAGTGGTGATCAAGGAGGGTTTGTTGTGGAGTGAGATGATGGATAAATTAAGACTGTACCTTCTCTGGCAAGACCAGAAGTCTTATGCTCCAGAGTTGGGGAATGACCCCCAGGAAGCTTGTCCCCCTACCTCTGCAGCACCCCAGAGGCACTGTGAGAACCTTTCCAACCTGCATCTTACCCATAAAGTCATGGTTTGTAAATGCCTGTAACAGTGCAGGCAGAAAGAAAGTAGATGAACCTCTGGCTATTCTCCTAAAGGGCAGTCCTTTAGATAGCACCCAGGCCAATGTAGGCTTGCTCTTTGCCTGAAGCTTCTAGAATAAGATGCTGTTTCTAACAACTAAACATTGGCCTCTCTCTCCTGTACAGATGAATGAGACTGTGAAGGTAGGTCAGACTGGATGAGAAGTGACCTTTCATTTAAACATAGATGTAATAGAAACTTACTAGTTATATGGCTTTATCTAGGACCTCCAGGGCATTACTCCAGCGCCTCTAAGCCTTTCTGGGTGGAAGGCTGACCCTGGGTTAAAAGTTTATTACAACTGGCTTGGCGTGCTAGCCCAGGTTCCCCTCGACGCACACCACGCGTGCCCCTGTCCCCGCCAACCCCCCTCCAAAAAAGTTTATTACAGTGTTTATGGGGTCTCCTAGATGCTCTGGAACATTAATGTGGGAGGGGGAACCAGAGACTTCCCCAAAACTTAAACAGAGTCCTCATCAGCTCTATGGCAGACCCTGTAGACACCTACCATTAGAGGGAATCTTGGAAAGTTCAGAAATTCTACTCTGGTTTGAGGTAGCCTGTGGAACCCTGTGGCTAACAAATTGGGGTCACTGAGTCCCTTGCCTGTTTTCTGCCCCTCACCTGTGACAGTCACCAACATGGAAGCCACCAGTGGACGATTGTTGTCCAGCTTTCGGCTGAGTCGAAGTTCCCCACTGGTCTGGTTGACCATCAGCAGCTGCAGCTCATTGCCACGCTCAAAAGAGTAAAAGAGGCGGTCAGAGACATCAGGGTCATAAGCAGGGATGCGTCCAATGATGCCTGAGGGGAAGGTATCGGAACGGTTGGAGACATAATTGTTGAAGAGGATCTGGAAGTTATTTAGCACAGGGCTGTTGTCATTCTGGTCAACCAGGCGGACATGCACAGTGGCTCGGCTGACCAGAGGGGCCGATGTGGCCTGCACCACAATCACATATTCCTGGCGAGCCTCATAGTCCAAGTCAATGAGAGCTGTCAGCTCTCCAGAGAAGATGTCCATTTGGAACAGCTCAGGGATATTTCCCTCCACAATCTGGTACATGATATGGGCATTTGGCCCTTCATCAGGGTCCACAGCAGTGATCTGGGCCACCACCGATCCCACGACACTGTTCTCCTTCACCCGCACCTCAAACTCCTCAGCGGGGAAGACAGGTGCATTGTCATTTACATCCTGCACTGTCACCTGGATGCTGACTGGAGTGCGAAGCGGGGGCACACCTCGGTCCACTGCATAGGCTGTCAGTTCATATACTGGCACCGCTTCGCGGTCCAGCCTCCTGACTGTTCGGACGATGCCAGAGGTAGGCTCAATGGTAAAATCTCCATCCCCGTCTTCCCCATTCTGGAAAGTGTATTGGACCCGGCCATTGGCATGAGCATCACGGTCAGTGGCAGAGATCTGCAGGACACTGGTGAAAGGTGGTGCATCCTCAGAGACCAGCCCTGGGTAGTGGGAGGCCACAAACTGCGGAGCATTGTCATTCACATCATTGACCATCACCTCCACGTAAGTAGTATCTGCCTTCTGTGGGATGCCATTGTCCCGAGCTGTAATGGCCAGTGTGTAGGTGACCTGATCCTCATAGTCCAAGGGAGCCTGGAGTGTAATAGCCCCTGAGTCTGCATCAATACGGAACTGGGGCAAGTTGTCTTCCAGGAGATAGGTTATGCGAGCATTCTCGCCCACGTCATCATCAGAGGCACTGATGACCACCACAGTGCTGCCCACCGGCCGATCCTCGTTCACACTCACTGAGTAGTGGGCACTTTGAAAGACAGGCCGATGAGTGTTGGCGTCTGTGATGTTGATGTGCACGTAGCAGTGATCATGAAGGGCACGGTCAGACGCAGTTAGCACCAGCTTGAAGTAGCGTTCCTGCTTGTAGTCAAGTGGCAGAGCCAGTGTGACCTGGCCTACGCCCCCTTGGGTGCTGATGGCAAAGCGATTCCGGGTGTTGCCACCTGTGATCTGGTAGCTGATGGCACTATTAGCATCGCGGTCTACAGCAGTCACACTGACCACACTGGTGCCCACAGCTGCATCTTCATTTAGCCGTAGATGGTACTCCTTCATAGTGAACTCAGGCCGGTTGTCATTAACATCCAACACAGTCACTGTGACGCTGGCTGAGGCCGAGAGTGGAGGCGAGCCATGGTCTCGTGCCTCCACACCAAAAAAGTAATGCTCCACAGACTCACGGTCCAGGGGGCCGCTCACAGAAACCCAGCCCGTGGCACTATTTATCACAAAGGGTGTGTCAGGTGCCAAACCAGTTAGGGAGTACTCCAACCTTGCATTCTCCCCGTGGTCGGCATCCACTGCCTGAATATGGATGACAGAGTGGCCCAGAGGTGCGTTTTCCAGTACTGAGACCTGGAAAGGGGTGCTGACAAAGATAGGTGTATGGTCATTGATGTCCACCACCTGGATGCTGGCCAGGCCTGTGTTGTTTGACAGTGGTGGCCGACCTGCATCCTGTGCGCGGATGCGCAAGGCATATTCTCGTTCGGCTTCAAAGTCTAGAGGTGCCACAACTTGGATCTCACCAGTGAGGCTGTCAATGGCGAAGTGGCCACGGCTGTTGCCGCTGATGATGTTGTAGTGCACCAGTCCGTTGGCATCTTTATCCCGGTCGGTGGCTGTGATGCGCAGCACCACCGTGTGAGGGCGCACATCCTCACGCACCTGAGCCACATAGCGCTTCTCACTAAACTGGGGGGCATTGTCGTTCTCGTCCAGCACAGTTATATGCACACGTACGGTGGCCGAGCGTGGCCCTGGTTCCTGGCCCTGGTCGCTGGCTTCCACCACCAGCTCGTAACTCTCCATGTGCTCACGGTCCACGCTGCCACTGGTGCTGATGAGACCAGAGCGGGGGTCGATTTCGAAGGCGGCAGCAGCAGCACTGCGTGCTGCCGGAGGTCCCACAAAGCGGTAGCGCAGGTTGGCGTTGGGAGGCGAGTCGCCGTCAGTGGCACGCAACTGAAGGATGGGGTAGCCCTCCTCCACGTTCTCACGAAGTGTCTCCCGATAGTGGGCTTGCTCAAACACCGGTGCATGGTCGTTACGGTCAGCCACTGTTACAGCCACCATGGTGGTGGCCGAAAGGCGCGGGGAGCCGTGGTCCTGCGCCGTAACTCGCAGATAGTGACGCTCCATGCTCTCTCGATCCAGCGCGGCCGCGGTGCGGATGAGCCCAGTGTGAGGGTCGATGCTGAACAGCTCCAGCGAGCGGCTGTTCATGAGCGCTGCGAGCGAATAGACCAGGCGCCCAGCCTCGCCGCTGTCGGGGTCCTGCGCCACCACCCGTAGCACCGCGGTGCCCGCCGCTTCGTTCTCCGGAACTTGCGCCTGGTAGTTGTATTGGGGAAACTGTGGATGGCGGTTTGCGGCGCGACGGAGGCGTGCCCGACTCGGGGTCGGGATTCTCCAGGCTGCCGGCGGCGCCCTGACCCCTGGGGGGCGCGGCCCAGGGCGTTGTGGGAGAAAGCGGCGGTGGTGGAGACTGCCGGGGCGCATGCGCTCGGGCGCCGGCTCGGGAGCTGTCCGAGATTCGCGCGGTGCTGAAACAGGTGCGGGAGCTGTCCGTGCAGTGCGCGGTGCTGAATCCCGGCCAGAGACTGACTGGGCAGTTTGTGGAAGGCAGTCCGGCGGGGAGGGGGGCCTTTCCGCTCGGGATATCGCTGCTCTCTCTTTCTGACCCCGATGCTCCAGTGCCCCCAATTCCCCGCAGCGGTGAGCGATTCCCACCCTTTTGCGGGCACCTCTTCCAGCGTTCTTCTGGAATGACATTGGCCTAAGGCCACGGGTCCGAGCCAGAAGGTCCAAAGGGAAGGGCGAACTGTCCCTCAGGCCCAGCACCCCTGAAGACAGAGCCTCTGGCGGGTCGTCTCTCTGCATGGGTCCTGTCCTCCCACCACAGGATACCTTTGGGCGCCAACATAACAGGGACCCTGGTGTCTGTCCTGTCTCTCGCCTTTGATTAGCCAATGCTTGGGCCTTGTGCTCTGCACCCAGAACTGCGTCTGGCTCTTCGGGGGTTCCTCGACCGCTCCGGATGTTTTGCCTTCCCCCTCGGAGCCCCACGAAGCCGGGTCCCCGGACTCCTAGGCCAGACTCCCCATCCTCTTGGACCATGGGCGTCTCGGGACAAAGAGCTAAGCCCCCGTTGCCACTCCGCGTCCAAGGTCCCGTAGCACCAGCTACCCCGGGGTCCCAGCCCCGGCCCCCACCACCCCCCTGATCCCCCCAACTGAGGGGGAACAAAGAGAGGAGGAGGAACGGGAGGAGCGAGGTCGGCGGTCCTCCGAGACCCCACCACGGCGGCCTCCTCGCCATCACCTTCCGCCTCCCCGTACAGCCTCTGCTGGCCCCCGCCCCGGCTTGGGCTGTGGGCCCGCCCCGCCGCTCGGGCCCCCTCCGGGGCCCCTGCCACCGCCCCGGCCCTCCGCCCCTCGTCCTGTCGCTCGGCGCTGCCGCCGCCCTCTGGGCACCATCTACTCCGCAGTCAGACCCCCTCTGGCGTGCGGTCCGGGCTTCTGCCGCCCCCACCACAGCATCCCCGCCGCTGCCGCCGCCTCCTGCCGTTCCAACATGGCTCCCGACCGCCCCGATGGTTTGCTCCACCTCCGCCCCGACGCTCCGAACCCAGTGGTATAACCCATCGCGCATGGCGGATAAGACTACAGAAGCTCTTCCCGCCATCTTTATTAAGGGCAGAATTGCTGCCCAGGGTGCTGAACTGTGCGAAGGTCCGCCCCTCCCCTCTCTCAACCACCGCCCTTATCGGCCTTCCCTTTTTCTCCCTTGGTGTCCTCGCGTCAGTTCCCATCTTTCCATCTGCTTGTGAGTCTCTCGTCATCCTTCCTGAACAGTGCTCTTCAACCCTGTCGAGGATTTTGGTCTAAATACTTTTTTGGTCCAAATTACTTAGGGCCCATGAAATGTAAAGAGAGCGTTCTAACTGTCCTGGACAGGAGGACCTGATGGGAACTTGGGACTGAGGGTGGGCGGATGGGGACCTGAGCTAGAAACAGCCCAAACAATAGCTTCAACTGTTCGATCAATGAGTTTTATTTTGCTCATGAAACATATCGTAACTACCAGCTTGTTTGGAACACTCCTAAGGAGCAAGGACGGACGTTAACCGGCCCAGCGCTGCAAGATTAAGGCCCCGACTCTCCCACAGGATCTTAGTGGTATTTCAGGATCTGGGGACCCTGTACTGGAGGTTATACCTCCCCTACGCCACTAGTTTGTAGTTCGGAGCTCTTTGGGACGCCATGTGGAGCTTGGCGTTGCAGTATTGCTGCGGGTCCGATTGCCCCGGATCCCCGCCCCTCGCCCACCAGGACGCGTCCCTTAACCCCTTGAAGGGACTAATAGAGGCTCTGTCCTCCAGCTCTACTCGCAAGGTGCATCTCCTGGCACACACCAATCCTAACTGTCCAATGGGCGAATTCAAAGGAGAGGACGTCACAGCAGACAAGAAGGGGTGGAGGAGCAATGTTCCAATCAGCAAGTCATTGTTTCTATTGGCACAATGGGAGGCCCCGCCCCGCAAGGGTGAATCATTGTCTGGGAGGGGGGAGGCTCTGTCAGGTGCCTGGCTAGTCTAGGATGCTCTCAATGGACCAATGTGAAGAGGTAGCAGCAAAAACTACATGCAGAGAACATAAGCATTCTGGCACCAAAGAACGAGACAAAGCTGAGGCCTGGAACGCTCCATGGGGCCGCGCTCCTACAACCAGGCAATCCCACTGCAAACAAGCAGAAAACTCCTAGCTGCAAGCTTTGGCGCGCCTTGACGGTGCCTATGACATCACCACGAGCCAATCAAATGGCCTATTCTCTTGCTTCTGGCCTCTTCGCTTCCGGGAGGCGGGGAATCTGCAAGTCCACCTCCCGAGCGCCCCACGTGGCGATGGAGACAAGATTGGTGGTCCTCAGAGGTTGCAGAACTCACTATCTAGGTTCCTGAGGATTGACGCGTGGAGATATGTTGAAGATGGAGCACTATCCGATGGGGATCTAATCTTTTTAGGAAGGAGAAGGAAAGTTCCTAATGTGATTTTTGACAAGACTTCTCTACCCTGGATGTAAAGGATGGACATAAAATTTGGTATCTATGAAGCAGAGACTGTGACACTGATTGTGTCAAATGCTTTAATGGCTGGTTACCCAATGCGGACAGAGAGTGGGGTGGAGCTCCCCGATTAAAACAAGCTTGGAAGGAGGAGTGGCATCCACCTCCGTAATAGCTTGCCTCCGGAAACCCTATGAACCTGGAGAGAGGATGAGAGACACCCAAGTGTTGAGGGCTCTCCTTCAAAGGGTCGCTGAGTCGCCTGGGACTCGAGGACACTTAACAACACAACAACATGAAGCAGAGACAGGTGCAGCACTCACTCGGATGAGTTGCTCCTGGGGATCCAAAGGAGGCATCAGACAGTTTCGCAATCTGGAAAGGCTTTCCTGAGGAAGAGAAGCCCAAGCAGTGCGTTGAGTGACTAAGAGGCGGGCAACATATGCAGGGGAAGGCCTTGGAAGCTGTGTGGGTAAATGTGCAAAAAAAGGCATATAGGGACCATAGCTGAGGGGAAACTCAGTTTCCCTTCCCTTACACGAAGGCTGCAAGTTGCTTTGCTGAGCCTGAGCTTCTGTGCTGAGTCTGAGCTTCTGTGTCTGCAGATGGCTCTCCCTGGCCATCCACACTGTACCTACTTCTTGAATTGCCCCTCCCCTTTATGGCTGAGTTTCTATGGAGGTCACCTGCTCCCCACGTGCATTCAGCATGCTTCTCTCCCACCTCCCCCTTGGCAGCGTCTAAAGCCTCCTATAAATACAGAGCCAAATACTAGTGATAGTTCCTTCCTCTGTTAAGTCCATCTTCTACTTTTTAAGAGCCAAGCGAGATCCCCCACATGGCTTCACCAGAGCATCCAGAGATTTTGAGGCTGCTGTGGGATAGAAGGAGAGCAGATCAGGAAGCAGGATGCTCTCTGGGACATCTTAGTCCCTCTCCTTTTCTAACCTTTTTCTCCCATCCTATATTTATCCCCTTCTTTCTACCCAGAAAGACTATGCAAGGAGAGTAGTGCAACGGCCTGGCCAGCCCATCTAGTTCAATTATTCAACAGTTCTCAGGCTTTACTGGGATTTCCAACACATTGCCCATCATGCCCTCAACTTCTCATCTTTACCATTCACCTTGTAGGATGTAGTGTTATAATAATTCCCCTGCTCTGCTCTTAAACTGGCTGGGCTAAAACCTAACCTCACTTAATATAGACTTTGTATATTACTCATCTCTGGGTCATTGCTTGATTACTGGAGAAAAATTCACATGTGTGCTAATATGGCAATGGAGTCAGGTATATTAGAGACTGTTAGGCTACAAGCCTCCATGATATATTTGTGGGCCTAGCGGGTACACAAGGCAAGAAAAGGAATAAAAGGTATGAGTACTGTAAAGGAAAAAATGAAATTCATTTACAGGCAGCAAAATGATATATGTAAAAGATCCAAAAGAACCTACAAAGAGATTACTAGAATAAATGAGTTTAACAAAGTTATTGAACACAAGGTAAACATAATCAGTTGTGATCCATATATTTAAGCAGAAATAAAAATGCCAAACAATAATACCATTTGTAATAGCATCAAGTAACATCAAATGCTGAAGATAAATCTAATTAAAGATGCAAAGAATATAAAAAAATTATTATAAGAAAGACAAATGGATGGAAATATTATGTTTAAAGATAGGAAGATTCAGTATCTTAAAAGATACTGTTTTAACTAGTGCTGCTATAACAGAAATACCATAAGGATGACTTTTTAAAAAAATTATTTTATTTTTTATTATTTTGTGTGTGTGTACCGTCAAATCGGATCTGACTGATACAGGAGGAGATTGTTCCTCCTTCTCCAGCAGAGCATCTGGTGGATTCAAACTGCATACCTCTGGGATTGCAGGGCAGCTTCTTGCCACTAGGCCACCAGAGCTCCAATGATGACTTTTTTTTTTTTTAATTTTTATTTTGTTATTTTTGTGTGAGTGTACCATCAAGTCAGATCTGACTGGTACAGGAGGAGATTGTCCCTCCTCCCCCAGTAGAGCATCTGGTGGATTCGAACCGTGCACCTCTGGGATTGTAGTTGCAGCTCCTTGCCACTAGGCCACCAGAGCTCTCCTCAAGGATGACTTTTAAGAAACAAATTTATTCACTCGTAATTTAGGAGGCTAGAAGTCAAAACTCAGGGTACTGGATTCAAGGGGTTGCTTTTCTTGTCAGCTCTGGTGGAAGGTTCCTTTCAGTGTCTACGAGCCTGGAGTCCCTTCCTGATCTCTGTGTCTTTAGCCTCAATCCTCCCTGAGTTTAGGAGGGTCTCAATTCAGGGTCTCTAGGTCCAAAGGACATTCTCTGTTCTCAGATCATCTTTCTTATTGGCAGTCAGGTCCTTCTCTGCTCACTTTCCTCTCCTTTTATCTGTCGTAAGAGAAAAGGTGATGCAGGCTACACCCATTAGCTCAGGACTAACCAAAAGGTTGGTGGTTTGAATCCACCAGCCACTCTGGAGCAGAAAGATGGACAATCGCTGCCTATAAAGATTTACAACCTTGGAAGTGTGATGAAAAGATTGTTGTTGTGTGCTGTCATGTCAACCATGATTCATAGCTACCCTATGAAAATAGCTCTGAACTTTGCCCTATGCTCAACCAGCCTCACCATCTCCAATATACCTGACTCCATTGCCATATTCACTGTGTCAGTCCATCTCATTTAGTCTTCCTCTCCTGCACAGACACTCTACCATTCCAAGCATGATGTCATCTTCCAAGGACTGGTCTCTTCTGGCAACATGCCCAAAGTACATGTCAAAGGCCTTACCTCCAAGGAGCAAATTTATTTCACCCTCTCCAGGACAGATCTGTTTGTTTTCTTGGCAGTCCATGGTATATTCAATACTTTACTCCAGCATCACAACTCAAAGACATCCATTTTTCTGTCATCCTTATTAATTGTCCAGCTTTCAGATGCATTGCAAGCAATTGAGAAGACCATGGTCTAGACCAGGTACACCTTAGTCTCTAGACATCTTTGCTTTTTAGCAGTCTAGAGAGATCCTTGACAGCACTTTTTCCCAATGAGTGTGAAACAATTCAATAGCAGTGAACGAGATACTTCTAGAAGATGGGTAAAATAAAATTATCTTACCAAGTTTTAGGAAAGATATGGTGCAATTGGAATACAGCAGGAGTGTACACTGTTTGAGCCATTTTTGGAAATTGGTGTTGCTTTATGCATGTACATACAGCCTGTGGTCTAGAATGCATGTCCCATAGACACAGTGCCAGTACCTTTTCTAGTACAGAGGTCAGGTCAAACCCCTTACTTCTTCCTGTCCCTCAAAATGTCTTGGGTTTTTCTTAATCCTAATCAAGCACCTCTCTTTCACTGAATAGCCTAGTACATGGTCTCATTGCTCTTTCTTCTGTCCAGCCCCATCCCAGGTCGGCTAGCCTCCTAAACAGCCTGACATGTTCCCCCCGAAACTAGTTCCTCTCTGAGAGAAATTCTGACAAATCTTGAAGATGATCTCCCCTTGGGGCTCTAGTTTTGCTTTGTGAAATCATTGCTGCAGTATGACTGACTGTAGGGGACTTTGCTGGGCCTCCTTCATCCCTTCAAACTCCTACAAGGGCCCCCTGGACAATCCTGCAGAGGCGGACGGGAGCTTCTCACCTCTTGCCACCAATCCTGTAAGCGTTAGCACGGACAGAAATGGCACAGCCGCGCCCAGCTCTTCCTACCTAGTGGGAACCTCTTAATAGGGACCAAATGCAACCACTGTGGAAAATGGTGTGGCGCTTTCTCAAAAAGATGCAAATAGAGATACCATTTGACCTAGCAATTCCACTACTGGGAATATACCCTAAAGAAACCATAACCGCCACTCAAGCAGATATATGCATATCCATGTTTATTGCGGCTTTGTTCACAATAGCAAGGAGTTGGAAACAACCCAAGTGCCCATCAACAAATGAATAGGAAGCTATGGTATATTCACACAATGGAATACTACATCGCATTGAAAAACAAGGAACTCATGCAATATTATTCAAACTGGGTGACCCTGGAGGACATTATGCTGAGTGAAGTGTCTCAGTCACAAAAGAACAAATACTGCATGGTGCCACTGCTGTAAAATGGGACGGACATCAGAGTTGGGGTAAGACTGAGAAAAACTGGATAAATTATGTATACCACATCGAAACAGATGAGGGAGAGAGCAATTTAAAAGCGATATATGATAGGGTATTATGGTTATCACAAGAGTCCAGAATTAAGGTTGCATATTGGAGTGTACTTGGGGCAGTTGGTGGGGGGTATGGGGAGGATTGTATACCAATGAAAGAATTTTTCTTTTACTTTTCAAAGAGAGGAGTGAACTGGGGAGGAGGGCTGGGCATGGAGAAAAGTGCAGCAATGAATGAATGGAAATCCAAAATCTCTGTAAATGTTCATTGAAATGAATAAAATAAAAAAAATAGGGATCAAAACAAGGCATAGAGGCTGTCAGAAATTTGTCACAACTTTCTGAGGAATTTTTTTTCCAAATTATCTTGCATGAATAATGGTTCGTTCTTGAATACACCAGTCAGAAAGCCTACTGGAAGTCACAGTGAGAAAAAAGAGTGAGATGCCACTGAGACATAGAGGAGTGACCAGACTCAGCCCCACAGGGCAACCCTGCATGATAGAACTATCCCGTCGGCTTCCTCAGCTGTAATCTTCACAAGAGCAGATTCGCAGGGCTTTTCACTTTTGCATAGCTGCTGTTGCTATATATCATAGTGAGAACCAACCTATAGCTGACCCCCTGCTGAGTTTTCAGAGGCAGTTAATTGCATGGGAGGAGGCTGCCCTTTTTTTCCCAGGGAGTGGATAGTGGCCTCGAATCACATGACTTTGGGCTTGCAGTTCAGCTTCCCGCCACTAGGTCACCAGAACGCGCTGGTGGGTCCAAATTGATGACCTTTTGATTAGCAGATGGGACACTTTAAGCATTGTACCTACCACCAGGACTCCTCATCCATAAAATTTTACTGGGGCCAAACCTCAGGTCCAGATGAATCCTTGAACTCAACCTTCAAAGTGGTCCGTTAAGAAGAATGATTCCCTAAGAGGGCATGGTGCACAACGGGTAAAATTTTGTTTTGTTAACTTAACAGTGGGTGATTTGAACTAACCAACTGCTCCTTGAAACAGTCCGCTCCCCTAATGACAACTTCAGAAACCCTCACTCAATGGCACTGAGTTAGAATCATCTCATAGCTGACACTCCAAGGGGTTTTTGGAAGCTATAAATCATGAGATTGCTGATCTGTCCCCTTTAGAGGAGCTGGTGGATTCAAACCGCCTGCCTGAGTTAGCAGTGCAACTCCTTACCACAAGGTCATTGGACTCTGTGGATCAGTAAGACACTGTCCTGTAGGTTTGCTGTGAACTGGAACTTACTGGAGAGCAGCAGGTTTAAGCTTCCTGTGCCTCCTTGTTCCTCCGAGTTCCCTGACCAACATCCCCAGGCCCTAGCACTACTCTGCTTCTTGCTGTAGATTTCTTCCAGAAGTCTTATTTGGAAATTAGTGTTGGGAATTCTGGATAGAATCATGTGATGATGGAGTTATCTTGAATGAAAATTAAAGGGAATTTATGACTACTTTTGATTGATGTTTGCCTTTGAGATCCCAGCTCTGCCCTGAGAGCCTCTGTTAATGAAAAAGGCAGACCTGAGTGTGGGGCCTGCTTCAGTGAGTGCTATAAAGGATGCCAACAGGGGAGGCTGCTATTGTTAGGTGTAATTAAGTCAACTACAACTCCTAGTGACCCTATGAACAACAGGTGGACACCTTTCCTACCCTGCAAAGGGAAGGTAATTTAAGGCAAAGAGAAAGATGTAAGCAGAACCCAAAGTGCAACAGAAAAAGGTAAATGAACTAAGGGTCACTTGTTGGCAGCCCAGGAGCCCTGGGTGAAGTGGAAGTTCTGGGAAGAGGCCAAAATAGAATTGAAGGAGCCTTGAAGGCCAGGCCTGTCTGGTATTGTCACCTCCTGCTGCTGGAGAGGTCAGGCAGGTAGAATGACTGGTTCCAAGGCCTCTGCTCATCCTCCTACCCCGAACAAGATCACACAGGGAAGTCCATATTCATATGCCTGTGATTTATTCCCAAAGGTTAGATGCAGCACATAGGAAAATACACATGGCTTTTCAGTCTACATTTTTTTTTCACAGAGAAAATAGATTCTGTCATTGGCTTTCTCAGGGCCATCACCCCATCCTGTTAGGCTCCACGATGGGTGGTCTGTCCCCAAGATTCCACTTTCAAAGCAGCAGCTTGGCCAAGGCCTCTGGGAGGTGGGAGTGAAAGGCGGCAGCCCCCGACAGGGAGCGGGAACATATGAGCAAGATTCACTGCAAAGCTAAGGCAAAAAGAGAGCTGGTGAGAGGTGCCTCCCCTCACCCCAAGGACATGGCTTGCTGAGGCCCAGAACACAGACCAAGCAGGGTGGGGATGGGCGCCCAGCCTGGAGCGGCAGCAGGACTGAGTGTATGTGTGTATACAGGGTGGGGGAGGGAGAGGGCATGCTGAAGAGGGACGTGAGCTCGCGTATTCCCCCCCAACCCAGCACAGCTCCCAGATCATGGTCCCCAATCCCACATTTGGCCCCTCCAAGGATCAGCTCTATTTTGGGTGTGTGTTTGTGTGTGGGGTCCTTGCTCAGGGCCCTTCTACCACCTTCTCACTTCACACTGTTAAGTGCAAGACATTCTTGGGGCGAAGCCCCCCCAAGATCCCTGCACCCTGCTCAGGGCTGCAGGGAAGGGAGGGAGGCAGAGGTTAGTGCTAGCTGGGGGCCTCGCCCAGCACTGGGAATTCCTTGCACATCTCTCGGACAATCATGCGGTCCATCTGGCACTGGGGCGAGGCCTCCTCCTCAGCTAGGATGCGGCGCAGCGTGGCCTGCAGGTCAGGCAGCCGGTGGCGGTGCTGCAGGTAGGGCGTGGAGCGGACCACGGCATGCATGAGGGAGAGGTATTCCATGCGCAGCTGTGGGAAAAGCAGGCTGATTCAGGGAGGCCCTGAATTGCTCGGTGGTATGACTACCACTATTGCCTCATGGCAGCCATAGGGGCCACACCAGGGTGGGTGGACCAGCTCGCATCACTGAACACCAGAGCTGTGTCCCCACACTGAGAATGTCCCTGGAACAGACTGGACTTCACTGAATGAATAAGTGAATGAATGAGCCCCGCCACAGATGGTCTCAGAATCTGGCTGGTCCAGGAAAGTCCTGGCTCAGAGAGGTGGCAGGGGGAGGCGGTGAACCTCTGTCCTCTCATGCTGGGGTGCTTGAAGTACTGCTGTCTGTCAGTCAAATGCTTTCCATCTCTCACTTTACCTACTCTCAAGTTGGAAGAGCTTGTTCACACCCACACCTTCAACTATTGACCCACATTCATACCTCTCACCTGGACCTCTGCTACTCTAACACCCCCCTCCTTGCAACCTCTACTCCCAGCACCTCTGCTTTAAACAGCTCCAAGGCCCCCTTTCAAGTCTACACCAAGCTCCTCAACTGGAACCTCCAGTCCACTAACCTGACTCCAGCAATCTCCTGCCTCACTCACCATCTCTTTCCCTTTGATTAGAAGAATTAATACCAAAACCTCTTATGGGCAGCACTGCCGTGATGAGATGAAGGCATCTGCATCCAATGCCAATGTCAAAGCAGCAGAGCTACAGAGCTGCACCATGGCTGACTTTGTCATGATCACAAACCTCAGACAGATGCTCAGCCAGCACTGCCTGCACAGCCCAGAGTATTTTCCCCACTGTGTCTGCTCTCCCTGGAGGAAATGAGCACATCCTTCTCTCTGTTCCAAAGCTGAACTTGCAAGTCACTTGGACTTGGACTTCATGGAAAAATACAGAAGTAATCTTTAAAGAAGTATCCTCCCACCTTTCCCGCTCACATCCACGTCTCACCTGTCTGCCACAGAACCACCTGTTCTGGCTCAGGCTGGCAGGTAAGCCCCTTCCCAGGCCTGGACCCTCCCTGCTGTTCAGCTTCTGGCCTCCTGTATGGCCCACTCCCCACCACCAAGGAGCTGCCTCCATCCAAGCTACCACCACTTTAAATGCCAGACTCTCCTCCCTCTTTATTCCCCTGACATTTCATTTTAGTCCACACTGACCTCCACATGGCAAATCCAATAGCCTGTTCTCAGCCCTCACCCTATTTAGGTCCTCATAGCCTGGAGCCAGCCCATCTCCCTCCTGCTCTGAGCACGTGGTGGCCGTGGAGTGCCTGCTGACCCTGTCCATTTCATTCCCTAGGCAACTGAACACTGCAGTCTTCCACCACGGCATCTGTGCACAGAGCGAGCAGAAAGGGCTCTCTCATCACTCAACCCCCCACTGGCTCCTGACACCCTGTGCCTGGAGGTCTGGGATCTTCTCAACACTGGCACACTGAAAACAGAACCCTTCTTTTTCTCAGGAAAGTTCTTCCCCCACCTGAGACAGTCATCTCATCCACCTAGTTGTTCAAGACAAACTTCCACAATTCTCTCCTTTTCCTTGCCTGCCTCTAACACCACGTTGTTCCCTGTCTGATCCAGCAGGAAGCCCTGTTGGATCCACTTTTGTCTTTTTCTTTTCTTTCTTGTTGTATACAGTCGAATCGGATCTGACTGGCACAGGAGATTGCCCCTCCTTTTCCAGTGAAGCTTCTGGTGGATTCGAAACGCAAGCCTTTGGGATTGCAGTGCAGCTTCTTGCCACTAGGCCACCAGAGCTCCCGTCCTCGGGTCTGCTTTTGATACACGTACTTGACGGCACATAACAACAACACAACAACAAGCCTGACCTAAGGAAGCTCTGATGGTTTAGTGGTAAGGAATTGTGCTACCAATGTAAAGGTGCGCAGTTCAAATCACCAGCTGCTCTGTGGTAGAAAAATAGGGTATCAACTCCCACGTGGTTTACTGCTTCTGAAAACCTGCCGGAAGGTCAGCTAGGAGTCAATTCCGATTTTATGGAACACAACAACAACAAGAAGCCTGACCTGACCTCTTCTCACCACGCCAAGGCCTCTCGCTATCCCATCCATGACCCCTGGACAAGTCAGGACTTCCTCTCTGGCTCTCCCACTGTCTAAATTCCATGCAGGATGTAAACCAGAGCATATCATCGCTCTGGACTTCTGCCTTCCTCTGAGAGAAGACAACTCCCTGGTGCCGCCCCCAGGCTTTCTGTCAACACTGCTTCCTCTTCCTAACATTCCCAGTCAGGCCACTCCACTTCCTCCTCCAGACGCCCTTCACAGACTACACCCAGTCTTGGCTACGTCTACCAGGCTGAGTCCTCCTGCCCAGGCCCTTTCCTCCCTCAGTTTTCACAGCCGCCCCCATTTTGTTTCGTTTTCCCCTGGCTCCGGGTCCCCACTGTGGCCACCTCCAGGCACCTTGTCTCCAGGTGACAGGTCTGCAATGTGCCGCACGGTGATGTCAATGAGCGCCATCATGTCCGTGTGGTAGAAGATGGAGGCCGTGTCGGCGCTGGCGAAAACATCCTGCAGGAACTTTAGGATGGAGTGCGGCGGTTGCGGCTCGTGCTTGAAGATGCGCACGGGGTCATCTGGGAGACAAAGGTCACAGGAGTGAGGGCAGTTCTCAAAGAGGGGTTCCAGCATCACCCCAAGGGGGGGTTATGGAGTCAGCCATAGGGTGCTGGAGTGGAAGCAGCCGGACACCTGGGCCCCTCACCCCCTCTGTTCAGGAGCAGCAGCAGCTTTTCGGAAAAGATCTTGACGTTGGTGTGTTTGCTCAGCGCAGTCATGATGACGTTCTGGTCCGGGGCTGAGGAAGGACAAGGGGAGACATGAGAGAGCCTGGGCTGGTGAAGCCCTGGACTGGTGAACCTCCTCCCTCACCCCGGGCCGCAATCCCACCTGGAAGGTGCAGGTTGAGCGCGAGCAGCAGGTTCATGCAAAGGTCGGGCAGCTGCTCGGTGGTGTCCAGCGGCAGCCCATCCTCCACGATGCTCAACAGGAACTGGGCGAACGGTGTGCCCAGGTGCTCTGTGGCAGGGGTACGCTGGGTTTGAGGCCTGTCCTTCCTCCCACACCACCCCTCCCTGGCTCTCTGTGACCCCTGGGCCAGCCTATCCCTCTCAGATGCCATGGATCCCTAATCCCTGAGGCCAGGGGTCCCAGCTCCAGCTGCTTGTGGGCACCCGGTTAACTGGTTGGCAACCTGCCTTCTTACCATAGTGAGCGTAGGGCACTGCCTCCCCCATAGAGAAGACCATTGCCAGGATGAGGGCAGAATAACAGAGCTTCTGGTGGTCTGGAAGGGATATCATGCTGTCAGGATCCCTGCCATGGGGGGGAATGACCCCCAGGGATCAGGAACCCCCAGCTCCGTCTCACCCTGAGTGTCTGTCTGCATGTCCCGAGCCAGCTCCACAGGAAGCACGGACGACACGAGCGTGGAGATGATGGCTGCATCCAGGCTGCACATGGCGCCGAAGCACTTGAGAAGCAGAAGCCGCAGGGACACCCGGTGCTCCTGGAGGGGGACCCTCATTGCTCAGTGCCCGCCACTCCAGCCTCACCCAGACCCCCTCCGGGCCTTCCTGCAGACTCACACACACCATTTGGTAATAGGCCACCAAGGCCAGGACAGACTCGAACTCATTCCTCTTGCACATTTTCTTGCAAACTTCGGGGTCTGCATCAGTCTGTGGGGGGAGGAAGCACGATGGGGGCTGTGCAGCCACACGCGAGCACAGGGCCCGTATGCACTGGAGGGGTGGGCAGAGGGCACCGCTCCATACGCTGGGGACACACGTGGGTCACCCTGGGCCAAACTCCGCACCAGAATGTGGAGCAGCTCCTCCAGGTAGCAGCGGATGACGCCCTCGTCCTCGTACAGGGCCCAGCTGCGTTGCTGGGCATCATCTTTCCTCCGAGCCAGGTCTGTAAAGATCACCTCCAGCCGCTGCTGGTCATGGCAGACCTGCCCCGAGGGCAGGGCTGTGCTCAGATCCTGAGGGGGGAGGATGCAGCACTCAACACACTCCCTGCCTGTCACTACTTCCAGGAAGCCCTCCAGGCAAGAAAGTCCACCCAAGGGCCCACAATCAGTAAGTTCAAGTCCATCCTGGCTACTGGCTGGGAAAGGAGCTGGACTCAGACCTCAAAGTCATGGGCATGAGTGTGCCAGGCTGCTGTCAGGCAAGGAAGGGGCTCTACCGTCCCCACAAGAGCTGCCCTAGTCAAAGTTCTCCTAGGATTTGGGAGGGGATCAGACCCCAGTTCTAGTCTCTCCTTTAGTTCCAAGTACTCCCACCTCGCTGCCCAAGTTAAGCCCTGTTCCTATGTCCACCCCTCACAACCTGACTCACAAAGGCCCATTTCTAAAGCCCTTTTCCAAGTGACACCCACCCCAGCCCAGAAGACCTCCTAGGACAGGATCCTACATGAGATGCACCACAAGGCATTTGCCAGCAACTTAAATCCCATCCCAGTGTTAACAACCTTGATGTGACTGAGAACCCCAACTTCTGAACCCACATACCAGACCAGGAGATCGCCACCCACCCAGTCACCTCCCATTTACTCTGAATGATGTGCTCAGTAGAGGTGAACACACAGACAACCCTTCCCTCACAGCCTCAAACTAGAGCAGGACTTGTGGAGTCCGGAGGGAGGGACCTCTCACGCAGCCCCCACAGTGCAGTGTGGACTCTGCACCTCCCAATCCCATTCCATGACCAGTGTCCCAACCTTGGCAAAGGACCCCACCCCACAATGACCACACATCTCACCCCTTATGGCTGAGTCAGCACCCAAGTCACCATTTCAGCTCTTGAAACACCCCCTTCTTTCTACCGTCAAGGCTGGCAACCACTGTCCTCACTCAGGCCCAGTGTCCACTCCGTCCCTGCAGCCACCCACATCTGCCCAGGTCTCATCTCTTCCCGCCCTCCTCACTCACTCTGTACGTTCTAGCCACGCTGACTTTGTTCTACTTCCTCCTGTTAAGTCAAGCTCAGTCCCGCTTCATGGTCCCCGTTCAGGCTGAGCCTCTCTGTCTGGAATGTTCCTCCCCCCTTCTCCCTTCAGGGCTCAGTTCAGATGTCCCCAGCACCCAGCAAAAGGCAGGCCCAGAGCTGGAGCTGGACAAATACCTGTCAAGTAAAGGCTGGAAAAACGTGGGAGGGTGGGAATGGGGTGGGGAGGCTCCTAGCTGTGCCGCCCACCCTCACCTTGCCCTCTACCAGTGAGAGGAGGACTTGTTCCATGACAGGTGAGCTGGCCGGCACAGAGGCCTGGATGTGGCCCACCACGATACCAATGGCCACGCGGCACAGCTCATGGCTCAGGCCAGTGTTTCTGCGCACGAGCTCCATCAGCTCTGCCCCGATGCTCTTGGGCACAGTCGTCTCGGCCACTGCCTTCTCCTCTGTGGTCGCCAGGCTCAGGGCATTCAGACCCTCCAGCTCATCAGGGGTCGCCGCAGCTGAGCTCGTACCAACTGTTTCCTCCTCTGCAGGGGGCTCGGGGGTTGGTGCCTTCGGTGGAGGGGACTGGGGCTGAGAAACTGTGGTGTGGGTGCCCCTGCGCGGTACAGGTGGCGGGGTGGGTGAGCAGCTGGGGCCCGGCTCAGAGGTGCTGGAGCCGGTATACAATGTGTCAAGGGAGGTGCTGCTGACTGAGGAGCCGCTGGACACAGAGCTGCCCCCCGAGGGCGTGATGGTGCGGCTGCCTGTGGGCAGAGATGGGATGCAGTGTTAGGGCAGCTCCCAGGGACCTCCCTGCCCCCAACACAGGGCCCAGTGCCTCTGACAGGCCCTGTCTCCCCATTGAGCTCAGTGCCCCAATCACTCCAAGACGGGGCTTGGGGCCTTTGTCTTTGTTACACCAACTAAGGACCATTCAAAAAACCTAGGGTGTCTCCCAGCAGCTCCAGCCTCCTCCCGCCTTCTCACCACTCCCCAAGCCCATCAGAGCCTCGCGGTCTCGGCGTTTCACAGGCGGCGGTGGTGTGGTGGGTGCTGCTCTCCGGGGCTGTGGTGGGATCTGGTGGGGGGCACAAAGAGGGGCTGGGCTATAGCCTGGCTGGGCCCCGAGTGCTGGGCAACCTGAGTGAACACTTGAAGCTTCTGGACAAAGCCTCAAGTCCACTCCCACCCCAGGCTACCCTCACCACATACCTGGTAAAAGCTTCCATCTGGCCCAAGGTGCTCAGAGCTGGGCAGGCTATGCTGCCGTTCAAACCCAGTGCGACACATCCCGTTGGGCTGCCTGGCAGCAGCGGCATCCAGATGGTGGTCACTGGTGGATGGGGTCATAGCTACAGGGCTAGGAGTTGACGGGCCTCTGCGGGACAGCGTCTCCTTCCGGTGGTGGATCAGCTTCCTGATGGCAGCAGACAGGCTGGCTGGGGAGGAACCTCACCACCCCCTCCCATGCTCCGTGTGAGAGGCAGGGTTGTACCTTCCCATCCCTTCCTAGCCCATCATGCCACGCTGGCAGGGAAGTGTCCCCCTCTTGCACTCACTGTAGGACTCCACGTTGCTCCAGGCTGTACTTGCCACCATCTCGCATGGCGGCATTGTGCACAGCCTCGATGGCCCGGTCAATGGCCTGTAGGACATCCTGTTCCAGGCCCTGGGGAGGGTGGTGGGGTGGGCAGTGAGACCTGGGGCCAAGTGGGGGCATTCTAAGCAGCTGGAAACCAGAGCAGGTAAAGACCATGATGGCCAGAGCATGCAATGCTGGATGTCAGAACAGAAGGCTGCACTAGCATGTGGCCTGGGGCCCTCAAACTGTCACTCAGGGAGCAGTGGTCCAAGATGCCCCATGTTGCCATTTTACATATTGAGGCCCAATTCAAGATTTTACCCTACAGTGAGGCTCTCAGCTGTCTCTGAAAATCAGGTTCTCAGACCACAAACATGTTCCAGAGTCCCCTGTGTATGAGGCTGAGGCACACCCAGATCCAACCCCAGGCTCGTCTCAGAGCCCATGACAAGCAGGAAGCCTCTTGCCTGTTTCCTTCCTTGATAAATCATTTGCACATCCTTCACAAAAGCAAAGTGACACTGAGAATAGCCCTGCTCCCCCGGGAAGGCCTCCTCAGAGGGCCTGGGCAGCTGAAGGGACCTTCTTTCCTTTCCCAAGCAGCCAGCCTTCATGCTCCCCCAGCTGTCCCAGGAACCCTCTCCCTCAGCCCGGGGAGGCAGTAGCTCTGTCTGTGGCAGAGGACAGCCACGAGGGAGGAACCTGGCGCCTTCCTGCCCCAGGTCCCAAGTTGCTCACTCCAACAATCTGGGGATCCAGTCTTACCCAATGTGGCTGGCATGGGAGGCGGGGGTAGCTGTAGGACCAGCCACCTCCACCTATCGCATATCCCACACCCAGACTATAACGCTGTAAAAGGACTTCAGAGGTGGCTTCCCTGCACAGCAGATTTGAGAAGCTTCCCTGAGGGGGGCAAAAAGCTAACCGCAGAGGTCACCAAAGCCCTCTAGGTGGTGTGGGGGTGTGCCAGAGTACAGGGACACATGAGACCGAGGGGGGGCGGGGCAGAAAGGCAATGACACAGAGTCAGACAGACAGAGACTCGGAGAAGAGTTGAGGCCGACCGTGCAAGACAACGGAGGAAGGATCTGCGAGATGGAGACAAAGAAAGGAGCAGAGGAAGGTAGACAGAATCTCTAAGGTGATGCACAGAATGACAAACAGATTCCCAGAGCCAGGGCAACCGAGACAGAGAAGGATGCGCAAACAGAAACCAAGACAGAAAAGGACATACGCCAAAACATGGAAGCCTCTCTCGATGTCCAGCCCCAGTGGCCCTGCACGGGGAGGGGCCTCACAGGCCAGTGGAGAGGCAGGTGCTCCCTTAGAGGCCTCCCAAGAACACCAGGCCCCAGAGGAGACAGGTCTGAAACTGTCACCTTAGACAGCCATGCAGGGATCCTGGCCCCTCACTCATAACCCAGGCACTTCTAAAAGGGATTAGGCCGAGGGTTTACAAGGATGCCCCTAGACCTCATCCCTTTGTCCTGGTAAACCTAGAAGATGCCCGATTGATCCCATTACTTCTGTCCTGCACTGGGCTGGGGCAGTAGCTTTTCTAAAGGTTACAGACTAGCAGGGGGTGGAGGTGCCTGACCCAGGCTGAGCCTGGAGGTTCCAGACCCTTCTTTCCTCCACAGTAAGAAGAGATGAACAGTAGACACTGCACCCTCATCCCTGCAGTAGGGATATCCTTGGGGAAACCAAAACTGGGGTTGTAGCTTCTACTGGAAAGAAATGGGACTTGTGACCAGACCAGGGAATGCCATGAAGAAATCGGCTTCCCCACAATGGGTGTATCCCCCACTGCAGGCTGGGAAAAGAGAGGGACAAAGTGCCCCAATTTCAGAGGAAAGAAAGCGAGAGCAACCCAGGTCTGAGGTTTGTGGGGTTGGTAGTGGTGGCACCTAGTACTGGCAGTCATGAGGATTCTTGGTTCAAAGAGAGTTGGAGGTTTTAGGAAGAATTTAGGGGTGGCTGAGAGCTAAACAGTAAAAGAAATGGGGGCCCCAAGACTTAGCTAGGCAATGGGAGTGTTTGGGGCTCCAAGGTCCAAATGGGGGACTGAAGAACTGGGAGACAATGGGGAAAACAAGTGGTGCCCAAGGTCGCCCAGGTGTTGGGGTGCAGATGGTTCCAGCTGGGGTCTGAAAGTAGGACAAGAACGTGGGATGCTAGGGAATCCAGAGGAATATATTAAGGACATGGGGCCTCAGATATGTGGGGAACTGGCCAGAATTTGAGAGGTCTGGATCTTACATTCTATTTCAGATAGGGGTTTAGACACTAAATCCCAAATAACTTATGGGCCTGGGGTCCCCAGGATTCTGTGCAAGTCTCCTCAGAGTTAGCTGCGAAAGGGCAGGTTTCGTGTATGGGGTTCTGGTGCTTGGGGGCCCCAGAACCCCTAAGTCCAATGGGTGTGTGTAGGGTCTCTGTGTCAGGTTCTTAAACTGTCTGCTGGAGGTCTCGGCCTTGGGTCCTGGGAAGACAGAGGTCCCGGGAGTCCCGGGGTCCACCCCATGATCCTGTGACGGCGCCCAATTTCAGGGCCGCGCAGACCTGGGAGAGGAGGACACACTCACCTGCAGGCGGCGCAGGTAGGCGGGTGGCACGTAGCCTGTCTCGCCGCTGCGCGCTCGCGCTGCCAACCACCAGTGCGCGCTGCTGCGCTCCAACACCAGGAAGGTCTCGCCCGCAGAGAACGGCAACGCATTTGGCTCCGCTGAGCGGAAGGCGTACAGCGCACGGTACATGGGGCCGGGCCGGGCCGCGCCGGGGTAGGGGAGGTGGCGGGGGCTGCGGAGCCAGCACTACAGGCCCGGAGCGCCTTGCCGCGCTCGCCCCGCCCCGTGACTCCACGCGTGCGCACGCGCGCCCGGCGCAGCCACGCCCCGAAAGTGTCTGCCCACGCACGAAAGCACGGCGCCCCCTGGTGGCCCTACGCGGTCTGGCATGACGTAGTTAAAGGCACCCCTCCATCCCGCCGCCCTCTTGCCCTGGACCTTCTGAATCCCCCAAGTCCTAGCATCTATCCTGTGAAACCCTGACCTCGGATTTCCCTGCCTGGCCCTCTCCTGTTAAAGACTCGAAATGGCTTCGATTAAAGGTTCCCATGCAACCGCAATGTTATGTACTATGTCCTCTTTGTAGCCTCCGTTGTTCTGAGGTGGGTAGGTTCTGACACTTATTTAAAAGGACAGTAAGCTGCAGAGGGTGGTCCCATTGCTGGAACTGCAGATCAGACACGTATAGGCCACAAGGGGATCAATCTCCGCAGCATCCGCAGGTCCTGCACGCTCCGCAGTGGGCAGGTGAGGAGTGGCAGCCAGAGACGGAAGTCAGGTCGGACCATTTCCCTAGCCATCTTTTTAAGGCTTCTTACCCTTGCTTCGAGGCGCCTTGGTGGCTTACTGGTAAGGATTTGTACTGCCACACGTAAAGGCAGGCGGTTTGAATCTACCAGCTGTTATGTGGATGAAAGAGGGCAAACTCCTCCCATGGGATTAACAGCCCCTGAAAATGCTGAGGGTCAGCTATGGGTCAGTTCTGACTCCAGACAAGTAACATCCTCCCTTGAAAGGCTCTCTGGTGGCGCAGCAAGCAAGCACTCAGCTGCTAAGTCAAGGGATGGAGGTGAGGACCCACCAGCTCTCTACATGGAAAGGCCTGTCTGGTTCCCTGAACATGTACAGCGTTGAGAATCCTATGAGCAGTTTTGCTGTCTTGTGAGGTTGCCAAGTAAGACACAACCTTGAACCCCTGGCTTCTCACTCTTCCTCTGTATTCCGGAGTGTTTTCTGCCTCGGACACCTCTCTCCCTCCTGGCACAGCATAACGTCATCATTCAGGTCATTCTCACATTGCTTTATGGTCTTTACAGGACATAAAACTCTAAATTATCCTTTCTGGTGTATCCTTCTGAGGGTAGGAGGTGTCATGTAGGTGGAGGCCCACAGTTGGACAATCTACTTCTCCAATATGTCCTGACCTTGGGTCTTTGAAGGTTGTGGATCTAGAGGGACCCTTTTATTCCTGTCTTAAAATATACATGCCCCAACCCCAAAATGGGAGCCTGGACCCATGAAATAAGAGCACGTGGGCACAGTCAGGGCATGTATGCAGTTGGACATAGCAGGCCGGGGAGGAGGTACTTAGTTCTGGAGCAGAGAGGGGCCAGAGTTGGACCCCTAGATCCTCTCTGCACAGTGTACCTCTGGGGATACTGACTCTACACTTCAAAACCTCCCATCAACTTGTTCTGGAGACCCTTCGAGCTGAGGTAAGCTCTTCAGGGCTGTTGTGAAGAACAGGCTGTAGCCAAGCCAAAGACTGTGTGGTAGTCAGGACAGGACTTGTGGCCACAACCACTTTTGCCTTGAACATTCGCTCTGTGAGACCCATCCTTCTGAATCCATTCACCAGGATGACACTGTAATGTCCAGTAGTTAGCAGCTATTGGTAGAGCAGGAGCCAAGTTTGACTCCCGGTCTGGAGCACACACTGCCTGGCTTTGGTTTCAGCTTCATGGGAGAACAGACCATATTAAGTGGGGTTCTCTGGGTACATGCAGCACACTAAGCCAGAACAGATTGGAGGGGTCTAGATATGTGTGCAGGGGTCCTTTTTTGGGATTTCAGAGTCTTGGATTGGGGGAATTATGTACCAAGCCAAGAAGTTGTGGCGGTTTTTTGATCTGAGTTGGGGGAACAGTGGTCAAGAGAACAATGCTCTCAGATAAGGTTGTGGTCTTAGCAGGTGGAAGGCTCCTAAGGGTTAGGAGTAGGAGCCAGCTAGCTTCCCCCCCCCCCCCCCCGGCAAGAACGACAACAGGACTGTGTACAATTAACAAAAAGTTTTGTATTGGAACGTTTACACTCAGGGAAGAAAGAGGTATTTGCATCATCAGATGTGGAATGTTGAAGAAACAGTTAAAATAAATAGACTCCGAGGACGGCTAGGGCTGGCTCAGGCTGGGCTCACAGGGGCCTCTGCGGGTCAGCTCCAGGCTGCAGGGGCAACCGCCTGGCCACGTGGCCTCCTCTGTTGCTTCCGACGCAGCACAGCTGTGCCGGGGACGTTTAGAGTCTCAGGTGCCAGTGCAGTCAGCAAGCTCACTCTCCACTCTCCTCACTTATTTCTGTGACAATGTCTATTAGGCTCTGGAGTCCAAAGATGTAGCCAGCGTCCTTGCCCTCGTGCACCACACTGTCCTCGCCGTATAGCCTGCAGGTGGTGTGTGCAAAGTCGATCATACGCACATCCACTGAGCTGGTGCCAATAGGTTTGTAGGCATAGGCGCCAGCAGACTCATCGGCCGACTCCTCTGACAGGTCTTCCAAGTCCTCAGCGTCCGAGTCCAGGACCACCTCGGGCCACTCCTTACCATCATAGATGATGAGCAGGGAACTTGAATAGAATCGGTAGGATTCCTGTCGCTCTAACACTGCTTTGAGCTCAGTCAGCTTCTTGAGCACAGGACCCAGGAGCTCTCGGCGCAGGTATCGCCCATTGTGGAAGAACTGGAAAAGTGCCTCCTTGAAGCCTTGTACTGATAGCTTCCTTCCGTGGTACTTGTTCATGAACATGAGCTGCCCGCTGCCTGCCTGGTACACCTGTGGGAGGGAGATCAGATGGTGAGGAGCAGAGGATGGTCTCAGACAGAGACTGGAGCCTGGGGACAGCAGCGCGGGAGGGGGGACAATGTAGCAGTCCTGGATCAAAGTTTTCAACTTGTCAAGAGTAAAATTCAAGGAGCTACTATCCTCTGAAGACCACCCACCTGGGATGTAGCCCTTCAACCTGGGTTCCGTCACTGTGGCCCAGGCCCGTTTGGCATGTGGGTCAGTGATGAGGACCTAACCCTCTTTCCTTTTACCTCTCAAACTGTGGACTCGGCAATCAAGGCCAACCCCAAGGGAGAATGTGTGAACGATACATGACTCACAGTATTAAACTTGTGATCTTTTGAGAAAACAGGAGGATTACATCAGGGCAAGGTGTCCTGGTCAGCCCACACCACCTGCCGCACACCCCTCACCTGCATGCCGCACACGCGCACGCCAATGACTGCAGATGTGCTTTGCTGGCACTTGCGGATCTGGTTGGCTGCTTTCTCCTCTGACGCATCATCACCGTGCTGACGTGTGCCCATCTTGAGGTCCAGGACACAAGGCACCTCATAGCGAGAGGTCAGATTCTCCAATAAAATAAATTCTGGGTAGTTAAGGACAAGTCCCTCCAAAACGAAGTGCTGCTGCTGCTTGGTGCTGTAGCACTCCTGGAACACACCGCCTGTCTGCAGTGTCCTAGAGAAGCCTGGACTCACAGGGCTTCATGCCAGCCAGTCAGAGAGGCCTCACCTGTCCTGCCATCTCCTACTCACCACCACCTGCCACTGCCATCTAGGTTTAGGGAAGAAACCTAAAGCTGGTGGCCGAACTAAGAGGACCTTTCCACTGTCTTCGTGCCCATGCCATTACCTCCCCCAAAGATCCACAATCCCCTGAACTCAGCCAGGAGTGGGACTAGGACACTATGCACAATTAGAAACAAAACATCAAATAAGTTCAGTAAATTCTGAAGTCTGGAATGTGAACTGGAAATATTAATATGAAAAACTGTTTTTCTTTAGAATAAATTTGCGTTTTCTAGTTGTGTCCATTGGCAAGGTCTATAAACAATGACCAAAAGGAACAACCCCTTTGCTTCCAGAGTGCAGCCTTCTCATTTCCCATTAAAGGAAACCAGGCTCTTTAATGTAGGGGTTCTGGTCCACTGCATACGGCTGTATGCCCCATAAACGAGGAGTGATTTCTACATTTTTAAATAAGACGAGGGGGGTAAAATATATTTTATGGGACAAACATTTTACAAACTTCTGATGTCAGTGAGAACTACGCTCTCTTAGTTATTAACTGTCTATGGTGCTTTCAAGCTGTGACAGCACAGCTGTTTCAGATAGCCAGGTTAGAAAGCCTAAACATTCTATTTGGTCCTTTACTGAAAGGCTTTTTACCAACTCCTGCCTCAGAAGAATGTCTGAACTCACATCTGAGGCAGGAAATGCACATGACCTTAAGCCACTTTTTCATACCAGAAAACAAGAGAAGGTATCACAAACTACTGTGGTTGTACCAAAATAACTCAGGAGCCCATCTAAGGAGGCTCCTATTGGCCTTAAGATGGGATAACTGAGATCAAATATATTTATATTCATATACTCATCATGCTCTAATACTCACTAGCTGTCTTGGCAAATGTTAGGGACATGCGTTACTCCAAATATCTAGTAAATGGAGAAAAGAACTTTTTTTTTGTTCCCTCAAGATAATCACAAAGTTGATGAGGGAAAGCTTCTCTTTATAGAAAGATACTAGGCTAATGAGTGATGAGTATGTCAGAATTAGAAAACTACCTAATGAAAAAATGAAGCTAAGGCAACAGAAAGACAACTGATGCCTGTGTGTGCTCAAGGACAGGCACAATACCGTCGATGAGAGCTCCCTGCCCCCACTCCATCTCCCAAGCAGAACAGAATGTGACAAAGCCTTTAGATCCAATTATCAACTTACTAGAAACAGTGAAACTGCAGAGGTGCAAGCAGCAAAACTCAGCCTGTTGGGAGCTCTGGAAAACCTCATTTTTTTCTGACATCTCCAAGGAGAGAAAATGGGGAGGGGCATCTAAAAAGACTTGTGCAATGAGGTTGACCTCACTGGGATCCAAACAAGCCAGCAGTAAAGACATCTACTGGTGAGATAATCAGAAAAAATATGGGCATCAATTAGATATCTGCTATTAAACAATGAACTATGGAATGATTTTTCAGAAATGATAATGCTTGACAGTATTATTTCACATCGGTTCTGAAGTATATATATAGATGAAATAATATACGAGACTTGTTTCAAAAATAATCTAGTTCGGGGTGGACACAGTGTTGATACAGATAGTGACAAGAGACTCACACAAAGGGGGTTCTGCTACACCTGAGGCATAGGTATTTAGGGGTTCAACATATTAGTCTATTTTTAAAAAGTTTAAAAGTTTCTCTTGCACAGCCCATCTCCTGGTGTGGGAACCAAGAAAGGGCAGCCAGGCCCCAGGTGTTGGGCAGGTGAGCACCAAGCAGGGAGTTCTTCAGGATTCTGACAAGCAGCAGCCAGGTGTCCTCCTCTTCTTGGTGACTCATCCCTGACTGTTCCCTCCCCATAAGGTGCGTGGTCATCCCATATATCCATACTTTCCATGTATCACCCTTACCATCCATCTCTCCTTTCTTATATACACTCCCAAACCAGTCCCAGCCTTGAAGCTGGTGAAATCTGTCCCTGGTTCTCATAAGAGGTCTCCTGGCATACTCGTAGTAGAGGAAACACAACAACTTCAAAATTCAACCATTCTCTCTTAGGGTTTCAAGGGTCCTCCTCAAGATGGAGATGTTCTGAACAAAGGATACTGTACTGGTTCCGATGCTTTGCATTCTCCTTCATTCGCTGTAACTGCTGCTGGTGACACTTCATGCTCCAAGGGTTGTAGTGTTTAAGTTGGGAACTCACATTCCCTTTTTTTTCTACACTGTAGTATAAGACTTCAGACTTCTTTAACCATTCAAATTCTTCTTCTAACTTATGGCTGTGAAGAAATAAGGATACAATTAAGTCAAGCTTTTATCAAAATTAAGGACCAAAGAGGTGCAAAAGAACTGTCTGGAGTGATGAGAAGGTGGCTATCTTGATGTAGTGGTTATAGTGTTTGTCTGTAAAACACTGCAACTGGGTGCACTTTATTGAGTGTATATTACACCTCAATAAATTTGATTTAAAAAAATTAAGTAGGCAGCCCACTGTTTTCCACAGGAAGGAAACCCTAAGATGCAAGGACACCTGTGCCCCCTCTTCCCCACACTCTACTGACTCTCTAGTCTCCACTACTCTCAGTGTGACTCTGAATCCTGGAACCTGTGACATTATCAACCGAAATCCCACAAGAATAAATCCACTCGCTTAGTGACATTAGATATTTTCATGGATATGTAGATTATATACCACGCCCCCCATTAAGTTCTGCCAAGGTGCAACCTCCAAATATCAGGATGATCATTCCCCCTTTCCTTTCAGAGAGCAACCAAAGGTCCAGGAACAGCCCCTGTCTCGGTCACTGCTACCCTCAGAAAAGAGTAGAAAGCCTGGCACAGGGCAGACTTAGGAGGGATGAGTAGTTGAGTCTCTTTTACAGCTGCTGCTACCGCGACTTCCCCAAAATGGCATAATCTAATCAGAGAGGAGCTGGCAGGCACGCCATGTGAGAAGTGCCACGCATGACAAGGCATTTAATAATAATGTGAGTCTCTGGTAACAGGAAACCAGGCCTTCACCAAGATCCCTTCTACTGGACCCAGGATCCCCAGCTTATCCTACACTCACCTTTTCATCTTATCTTCTTTTCGGTGCTGGCGAACCCAGTCCTTGGAAGCCTTTTCCATTTCTAGAAGATGGTGTTTCTTGTTTGTCCATCTTAGGAGCTTACTTTTTGGTTCACAATCTGAATTATCTACATTGTCCATAGGTCCATGGTCCCCTTTTAGTGGATATGCTATTAAACACAAATTCCTGTCTTCATCCTCTTCAAAACACACAGATACCACACCTGGAAGGGGGTGAGGAGCAGAGCAGGTTTTAATTCCAAAGGAAGATGCGTTCTAAGTAACATGTTTGTAACATTTGTTTTTTTTTCCTTACCCTGTTCCTTAGTCTCTCTGTTGCCAGAGGGCCCAAACTCATCTGCAAACCTAACAAATATCAAAACAGCTAGAAAAGATGACACCATACAAGACAAGCGATTAAGAAGCAAACATAGCTGAGAGTCTTCCTCTCTGATGCACTCAACAAGGCAAGAGCCAAAGAATTACAAGACACGTTTTTCCATCATTGACAATGTTTATTAATTTTTGTGGAATTCTTCTAGTCTTGAGAGAGATGCAAAACATTTTATTTTGCTCTTTATATCTCGCAGCAATTTTTAATGCCCCCAAAAGAAACACCAGTGGCCTCAAAGATTGCTCTGAATAAGAGCTGATAGCCCCTTGGGGAGACAGATTTATTGGCCTGGGGTGTAAGAAGCATTCAATGTTAAGGGAAGATTGTGCAAGCAAAGCAAAATAAAGGGGCAAACAAAACAAACCACACAGCACAACAGACATCCTTGAAAGGCTTCCTGCAGCGCCCCCACAAGGGCAGGCAAGTCAAGCCTTTTGTCCTTCTCAAATATTAACTTTATTGATCTTTTTGCAATCTCATGTCACAAGGGAAAATGAAACACAAGGCAGACAGGGTTGGGCAGACACGTAGTGGCCTCGAAAACAGTTCTTTCCCTGGAGTCTCTAGAACCTGCCAGGTGTACTCAGTCTTTGAGGGGGGTGTCAGGTGGGAGGATTTCAGCAGGTGCCGTTGAGTGCGCCTTACAACCGACTAGGCGTTGACTGGCTGAACGCCTTTTCTCCCAGGCCTTTCTGCCCGGGATTCACTCAATCTGCTCAGTTCCTTGCTGCCTGCCCGCTCCTGCAGGGGAATGCGTTCTCAGAGAGAGACGACACTTCTGAAGTGGCCCACAACTCTGGGTGCAGAGGAGCCTGGGTGGGGAATTCAAGGGGCCGCACTTCCCTGTGGCCACGGGGAAAGAACCAGGGACAAAAGGGGGCCAGGGGCGGCCAGCTAACAAGGGACCTTTGGCTTTGTCCTGGAAAAAACAACAGAGAAGGACCAAGTGAGGGCCCCCCAGCCCCCCACCCCCACCACACACACGCGCACACACACATCCACATTACAAAAAAAATGCCCAGTACATTCTGACTTAAAAACAAGTTTTAAAGTCCCAGACGAACCTAGTTGTTCCAGTCTTTGGTAAAATCAGGCAATGCAAATTTAAATGAATGTCTTTTATTGCCTCTTCCTTAATTTACAAAGGCTCTGACCCCCCCACCCTCAAGAAGGCCACACTGTGGCTCTTGATGTCTCCCAAAAATATTATAAAAAGGACGAAAATGCCACATATGGGAATCAATGGGCTCTTCAGTTAGCAATTTCGGGGACATTCTGTAACAGCAAAGGGCTTCAGCTAATGAGCACAGGCCTCCCACTCCTGCATTCCATCTGACTCAGTCAGCCCTGCTCCCAGCCTACCTAATCACCCGGCTTCTGATTTCCTGGAGCACAAGGCGCAGGCGGCAAGTATTCTGGGTAAAACCCTCCCAAGTCTTCTCCTGCTGTTCCCCCCATGGGAGTCTATGCGTTAGCGCCATCAAGAGACACCTGAACATAAAAGACATCTACACTTCCACCAAAAAGAAACTCAAAACAAATCCACAGAACAAAACAGAATTGAGTAATCTTACCAGGACTTGCAACCTGAGGGTGTGAGGTGCTGGGCCGAGGGCCAAGTGTAGGAGGAGTGGGGGAAACACAGTGAGTGGGAGGGGACAAAGGTTCCCGGAAAGGCTGCGTGGACAGCCGAGTCCTTGCATCTCCTTGGCCTACCTCGGGGGGCTCACCTTTGTACTGGGGAGTGAATTTGCGCATCTCCGCGGGCAAGGTCTCGTAGAACTGGTGCTCCCTCGGGACCAGGGGCTTGCACAGGGTCGTCTCGTTGAAGCGGAGCACGCAGGAGTGGCCCCCAACTTGGTGGACAAAGGGCTCCAGTAGGATGCCCTTGGTGCGGGGATCCACATCCATAGCCCTGAAGGCTGGGCTCATTCTCCGGGTGCAAGCGGCGGCAGAGAAAAGGGGGAGGCAGCAGGGTCCAGCGGCCGGCGTGCCCTCCGTCTGTCGTCTGTCCGCGTGTCCCTTTGTCCAGCCTCAGCTCCTCAGTTTACTCGGGCCAGGACGCTCTGCCAGAAGCAAACACAGGGACACGGGTTGGAAGTGGCCGGGGAACCGCCTTAAAGCTGTTCGCCTCCTCCTTCTGCTGAAAGACAAATAGTCAGCCCAGCTCTAGCGAGGCCCCGCCCCGCCTCCTCCGGCAGAAAAACAAATACTTGGGGCGGGGCCGGACGCTGAGAGGCAAGGCCCTGGCTGGGCGAGCACCCCTTTAGCCAGGACCTTCCAATAGCCAGCACCTCCCACAACAGCAAGCAGGAGAACGCAGCCTCCGCTAAAGGATGCAAAGGCAACGGCAACCTACCGTTTGGATTAAAACCTGCCATTTTTTCCTTACACATTTTCCAGTAAGATTGTCAAGCTTAACCCAGGTGTCTATTATGTTTTTATAAAATACATTTAAACAAAGGGAAAACCTGCCTGCGAAGGCACGTTAGTAAGACAGGATTGGCCAAGGTAAGCACCCATCCCGCCTCTGTCCCGGGCTAAAGACAAGCCCCATTAACCTTATTAGCAATGGAGCTTGGGCCCAGCTTTAATGATTAACGTCTGTATCTAAAAACAACTGATCGAGGCTGGCTAACTTGTTTAAAAAGATACACAGTGTTCTAGGTCACTTACTATTTTTATCAGTTCTATCTTGATCGCCAAAAGCTGGGGCACACCTTTAAAACCAAAGTTGGGCTCCTGGGGTGATCAGAAGCCCAGGGCCTGAATGGAGCCACACACTCATCTTCAGAAAGCACACCCTTTTAACCATTTGATGGTATGCTGTCACAGGAAAGGGCAGGCCACACATTTCTACTGCAGGAGTTCTGCTGGCTTAGTGGTAAGAAGCTATGCTGCAATCTCAAAGGACTATAGTTCAAATCCACAAGCTGCTAGGCTCAAATCCACGAATTGCTCCATGGGAGGAGAATGGGTTATTTACTTCCTCTGAAAACCCACTGGAGGGTCTGCTATGAGTTAGTTCCAACACAATGACACACAACAACAACTACAGGACAGGAGCTCTGGCTACCAACCCAAAGGCACATGGTTCAACTCTACAACTGCTCCATGGGAGAAAAACAGGCAATCTCTAATGTGACTTAATGTAAAGAGGGCAATGGGCTTGAGCATCCTGGAGATCATGCCGATCGTGAACATGCTGGAGAACAGGGCGAGGCTCAGATTTGTTGTTTGTAGGGTCACTAGAATGTTCTATCTGTGCTTCATTGACTATGCAAAGGCTTTTGACTGTATGGATCACAATAAGCTGTGGCTGACTCTGAGAAGAATGGGAATCCCAGAACATTTGATTGTGCTAATGCGAAACCTGTATTTGGACCAAGAGGCAGTCGTCAGAACAGAGCAAGGAGACACTACATGGTTTAAAATCAAGAAGAGGGTCCGACCATCAAGAACATGTTCTGTCTCCTTATCTTTTCAATCTGTATGCAGAACAGATCATCTGAGACGCTGGGCTGCAAGAGGAGGAATGTTGCATCAGGATTGGTCGACGAGTCATCAATAACCTGCATTATGCAGATGACACAACACTGCTTGCTGAAACTGAGGAGGAACTGAAGGGCTTGCTACAGAAGGTCAGAGACTGCAGCCTTCAATACGGATTGAAGCTCAACATCAAGAAAACAAAGATTCTCACCACTGGGCCAATTGGCAGCATCAGTATGGATGGTGAAGAGATCGACATAGTTAACAGTTTTACTTGGCTCCACAGTCAAAACTCTTGGTAACAGAAGCCAGGAAATCAAGAGACTAATTGCTTTGGGAAAATCAGGTGGGAGGGACCTCTCAAGAGTACTGAAGACTAAAGTGCGCCTGATCCGGGTTTATAGTCTTCACAATTACGTGCTATGCATCAGAGAGCTGGACAGTGACTAGGATGATAGAGAATTGATGCCTTTGAGCTGTGGTGCTGGAGAAGAGCGTTGAATATACCATGGACTGCTAGGAAAACAAACAGGCTTGTCCTAGAGAAGGTGAAGCCGGAATGCTCCTCGGAGTCAAGGATTCTGAAGCTTCATCTGACATACTTTGGGCATCTTGCAAGGAGGGACTGGTCCTTGGAGAGGGACATCATATTTGGCAGAGTGGAGGGGCGGCAAAGGAGAGGAAGACCTTCAATGAGATAGATTGATTCTGTGACTGGAGTGGTGGGAATGAGTGCGTTTGAGATGGCTAGGTTGGCACAGGATAGAACGGCATTTAGGGCTCTTGTACATATTGTACATAGGGTCGCTATGGTCGCTATGAGTCACAAACGACTCAGTGGCACATAACAACAACAAAAACAAGAGTTGTAGTCAGTTCAATGGCACCTACCAATAATATAGGGCTTATAAACCACCCTTCTGCCAGTTTCTCCTACTATTGTGGTTTGTATGTTGCTGTAGTGTGGTGGCTAGGCTACCAATATTTCACATGTCAGCAGGGTTATCCACAGTAGACAGGTTTCAGTAGTGTTTCCAGGTTATGGCAGGCAAGGAAGGCCTGCTAATCTATTTCTGAAAATTAGCCTCTGACAACTCTACAGATGATCACAGGATACTGCCCAATATAGAGAACTTTGCCCCGTGGAAGACTGAAAGTAGCTTAGGAATACACATTGGCTGTGACAATGGGACTAATACATTAACAATGGTGAAGATAGGGCGGGACCACAATGTTTTGTTCTGTTATGCAAGGGATCTCTGAGTGAAAGCCAATTCAACCTCAGCTAACAACAATGGTTTGTGCTAAGTTTGTTTGTTGGGTTTTTTTTTTTTTTGGTGCTAAGTTTTTAATTCCTCATGTTCTTCGGACAAGTGAGATAGTGGTGGTGAGGACAAGTTGGCTAGAGATGAGTCCACACAATGGACCAGTTACAGGTATTCTTACCTCAACAGTACTTTCTATAAGGTAGATATTTGTTGCAAATGATGAAGCTAAGATTCAGAGAGGTGAGGAAATTCACCCAGGGCCACAGGTACTAAGCCATAGCTCTGAAGTAAAATCAATGTGCCAAGCGCCTAGTCCTGCACCCACCTCTGCAGGGTTACATACTCTCAGGCATCTCTGCCTTGGTACAGCATCTTCTACTACGCATTCCAGACATTTAGCTTAAATGTTTTTACCATGGATTTGTGGTTTTTACTTATAGTCTCTCTTAAAAGAGTTTAAACTAGTGATAATATTTTCCAAGAAAATCCAATTCTAGGCCTCTATTGACTCAAGAATTTTTTAAAAAGCAGTATATTTTCTACCTACAAAGAACAAAACTCAAGGTCCTAATTCTTAACTGTCATGGTCTTCTCATCACTACAGAGCAATTGAATGGAGGGCTGAATACATCCCAGTTATCTTGTACTCTCTTCAGGAGGTGGAGGGCAAAGATGACCAGCCCTTTCTGTCAACACCAGACCAGTTCAGACTAGCCTACTGAAAAGGCCTGGTAAGAGCAACACCTGGTAAGAGGAAAACTACTGAGTCATGGTTAGCCTGCCAGTACGCAAAAGCATGAGTCAGAACTCCAACTACTAAAACCGTGTAAGCACAAAATGCTCCTTCCTCCTAGGCCTGGTTCAGACACATTCCAAAACTTCCATAAAGGTTTGAGACTGCTTTTGCTAACTACAACGCAATTCTGCAATGTTATGTTTTGAAATAACGCAGTGTTAAGTACTGCAAATGAAATACAAATTTTTTGTAATCCTCATGATACTTTCTATGGGGTATAATCTACTTTCCCTGTCAGAACTTCATTACCGACTCTGTAAATGTATTCGATTAAGTAGAAAACATTTCTCTCCAGGCATCTTTCACCAATAAAAAATAAAAAAACCCCTGATCTTTGGCCCCCAGTGTATTCATTATCATGTGGTGGCACCTTGCCACCATCTTCCTCAGCATTCAACTTTGGCAGTCGACAGGACGTTACTCTCTAGGGTAGAAAAATTATCTTGGGCATAGGGGCAGCACAATAAGGCTGACTTGACTCGGTTTGGCCTGGCTGAGCCAAGTCTGATGACAGAGGAAACTCCCAAATGTGAGGAGGAATTAAGAAGACAACTGATGAACCTGAAGTTAGGTGGCATGGGCAGGATGAGGTAGTTTCTAGTCCCAGTTCTGCCACTCAGTAGCTCAGAGAAAAACTCTGCAAGTCCTTGGTTCCCTTCGAGTTTCAGTTTTCTAGACTGTAAAATGGGCAGAGAAGCCTGGAGTAGCTAGCTCCATACTCTTTAGGTTGTTGGGTAACCAAATAAGTGAATATTCACCAATGGGTTTGGTTGTTTTTAAGAAAATAGAAAATATCAATGCACCACCCATTTTTTTACCATCAAGTCTGAACAGAGCTATAGCTGACCCTCCAGGGGGAGGAGATTGCCCAGCTTTCTCCCTCAGAGCAGCTTGTGGATTTGAACCACCTGCCCTTTGGAATTGCAGCACAGCTTCTCACCACTAGGTCACAGTACAGTAAATCAGTATTATTCTGTGATCCTTTTGTTTCAATTATGTTCAGTCTCTCAATATGAACTTTCACTATGGCTTCACTGTACTACAATGTACTTCTCCCTTTTGGGATTGTAGGCAAAAGCACTGTGATAGTGTTTATTTGACGGCCTATCACTCAAACCCCACCCCTACAGGAAAATGAAGGACCAGTCTCTCAAGTATCATACAACTTAGGTTCATCCTGACCAAGTAGCAAGCAAAGTCTGGCACCAAGCCCCTCCTAACTCTGCTCCACCTGCTGCTACTCGCTGTTCCACATGTGGTTTTAGCAAGGGGGTTTCTCCAGCCCTATTTCCCAGGGATCCTGGAGTTTTAAATTAACAAACACAACTTGGCTCTCTAAGAGAATAGGTCTGTTCTGGAGAGGGTGAAACCAGTTTGCTCCTTGGAGACAAGGATTTTGAAGCTCCATCTCACATACTTTGGGCATGTCGCTAAGTGGGACCAGTCTCTGGGAGGACATCATGCTTGGAAGGGCTGAGGGTCAGCGCAGAAGATGATGACCGTGGATGAGATGG